AGGCTGCTCCCCACCCTGGATGCTCTCCTGCAACAGCTCGACCGAGTTAACATGGCGACAGAGGATGTTTACCACATGGAGTGCAGGCTGGAGCGAGCACAGAGGAAAAGGAGGCTCATTAAGAGAGAAAGAGGAGAAGATGGTGGTGAAGGGAGAGGTGGTGGTAAACAGAGAGGGAAGGGGAGAGACAAGGAAGTGAAAGAACGAAGGGCTGGAAAAGAAAAACACACTAGGAGCAGGAAAGAGAAAAAGACAGATAAAAGTCAACCTTCAAAAGAATCTGCAAGCAGAAAGACTCCTGCTGCCACCCCTGTTCCCTTTTCAAAGCCAAAAGCTCCATCAGCATCCACACAGCCCCCCACCTCACATTCATCAGTCAGAACATCAGTCAGTGCGTCCTCTCCATCTTCGGTCACAGATAAACCCATCGTTGACCCCATCCCAGCAAGCTCTCCTCCTCTCAATGATCCACCCTCCAAAGCACCCTTAGCTCCTTCGTACCCCCGGGCACAGACTCCTTCCATGCCGCCCACCTGCGGACCCACGCCCATTATGACTAGAGATCCTCCGACAGACAGAGAGACCCTACCCTCCTCGAGTCTGTTTAACCACCCAGCTCACACTACCACCATCCCCACACGGAAGAGGAAACGAAAAGCCCCGCCCCTGAAAAACAAGGTGCACCCCACTTAACAGGATGCAGGAGAAGAGGAATGCTGAGATGGAGAACGTAGGAAGAAAAGGTTGGGTTAAGGACGAGAGGAGATCGAGGACAGTTGGCCTTGTCCCCAGATATACCTCTTTAAACCCTGGAAGAGAAGAGAAACCAAGGAATCAGAAAGAGATTAGAAAGTCGCTTAAAGACAGAATGTTTGAGCAGATTGTTTGGCAAAATTCAGGATAATCAGATGCAAAGGAATTCGCCCTAAACCTTGGTGCAGGTCACCAGGTGACTGATTGTACCTCTCCAAAATCCCTACCGTCCTACCCTGTCGTCATTTGATCCTGGAGGTCCCAATGGCGTTGTGACAGGAGCACCGAAAAGTGCTTACCAGAGGATTCACGCAGAAGATAAGAGACTTAAACCCCAAACTTCTCTGTATATAGGATTCCTTGCTCAATGTCGTCTGTCTTTATTTTGTTAAAGATTTCGTTTCCTGCAGGCACGCACATTGTATACACAAGTATCTAACACTGTAGTCATGTATCAGCAGGTGGAAATTGGTCTTGTGCTCCAAACAATGCGGGGCTCCAGGAAACATGCACATGATGGCGTTTAGATTTCAGCAGCTTGCCTGCATGACAGGATGGATACAGTGCCGGCCATTTTTAATTCAGTAGCGAAATGTGCACAATTAATTTAAAGGTTTAACGTCACAGAATATGCCCTCTCAAAATTATTTATTAAGTGTAGAAAACACCCTAAATACAATAAAATCATCATTATTGGACAGATTCAGCAGGCATATTTATCTAGACTTCATCAGACTCTCTTTAAATCCTGAGATTTTCAATTAATGTGATTCCTGCCATCTCTGTTATCCGGTTAAACATTAGATAGAGGTCTAACAAAACAGGGTTTAGAGGGAGGACTCTTGGTGCCAGCCGAGTCCGCATGTTGGTATAAACACAGATTAGTAAAAGGTATTAATAATTAATCAAATGTCGGATATTTTTATGAAGCATTTTCAGGAACATTTTTTTAAGGGCTGGAACCACAAAAATAGAAAAGTTATAAGTCAGGAATTTGAAAGCATTGGAGGAGCAGCTCCCCATTAGTAAAGAAACGACATTCATTTAGCATTGTCACACAAACAGTTTGAATCAAATTATTCAAACTGTCTAGTTCTAAATGCATTCTGAGTATGTCGACAAAAACTTTAACTGCAAGCCTGTCAAATCACCCAAAGTTTGCAAACTCCATTGCACTGAATGTCAAAAACATTGCCCTCAAACACTGGAGAATTATCTCAATGCCTGACTTTAGAAAATAACAAAAGGTTAAATGTGATATTTTGAGGTCTGTAAAAAAAATACAAGCCTTTGTTCCACATACCGACTCTATTCGTATCCCGGGGGAACAAAAAGGTATTGATTCCAATTTAAACATCCCAGCAGTCAGTCTGATTAACTTCAAAACTTACATTTGTTTTTAAGAAATTGTTTAAGATAGCAGTAACGCTTGAATGTCTTGTTTTGGGTCATTTTTCCAACCAAATAAATGTTCCATATATGAAAGTTTAATTTCCACACATTTTTTTCTTTTTTTATAACTACAGAAATAATAGATTCCAGAATTACCTGAAGGCTTTTTACATTTTTCAAGGCACGGCAATAATTATGGCCAGCACTGTTGGAGATAAGAACCAGAGAAAGCAACAGAAGGCTTAAGAAAGGGTCTGATGGAGAGATGCAGAAGGTGCTAACAGAATAAAGGACAAAGGGATGGAAATGAGGGAGATTTTATGGATGTTTTTTCTTAAAACATGAGCATTAACAGAGGTTCACCAATTATAAAGCTATACTGACTCCCACTCTTCAATCTTCCCTAAATGTTTGTTATTTTGTTTCATATGGATTGAATTAAAAGCACTTTTTGTATTGTTGGAAGGTATTTTGTGGCATTAAGTAATAAGCTCGGTATCCAAACCAAACGCATAAAGCTTCACTCATACTGTACTTAGTTACTTAACCATAAGCGCTGCCAAAGCTTTGAAAATCATTTATGCATTTTGATTTTATCCAGACATGCATTAATTCATTTTGTACTTGCACTTTACTCTCTAACAGAGATGTTGAACACCATATTTAATTATGTGTCAGGATATGAGTACATTTACGTTAAAGGGACTTTGTAAAAGTGTTTCCCGGCTGTTGTTAAAGCTTGCATTTGTTTATATGTTTGTCAGCTCTTTGATTCGTTTTAATCTTGTCGCATCAACACATGCGCTTCCAGTGCCGAGTGGGCACATCTCAGGGAACCTATCCTCTCTCTGTCACAGCTGGATTCAAATCCAAACAGATCAGTCCAGTTTATTGTTAAATAAAAACAAAAATTAAGTCTGGTTGTAGTTATATAAAATATAAAAGGGAGCGGTACTGCATTGTGTTGGCCTCAATGTAAAAGAGGATGAATGTTTAGTTCTGAAGTTAATTGCTTTTTTAACTTTGTCCAGCTTTAACAAGTATTTTTACTGTGTATATGTTTTGTATATATTTGGGCCTTAGGATGTAGATATTTTTGTAATCTATATTAATAGTGCGCCGTAACTCACACTTATGTCAAGCACTGGTGTTGCAACCTCCAATGTTTTTTCAGTTTTTTTTTTTTTTCTCCTGGTCTGACTAATGCAAAACAACCAAAGCTTTTAAGTCTTTAATGTTTGACAGAACTGATGGTTTAGTAGAAACCACAGGAAGCTCTGCAGTCTGATGTTCCCTCTCTTTGTGTACAATGTGGAAGAGCCTGGTGCCAAAGCTAAACTGTTTATGTTCTTTTGTTCAGTCTGTTGCTTTATGACGCTTTTTATTTGAAAGCATTTGCCTTTGCCATTCCTCCTTGTATTCATGCAGTTGTAGCACTGCTCTTGCTTTTGCACTTGACAAAGTCAAATAAAGCATTTGACACCTGAACTCTGCAAGGTCAAAATCATTCTGGTTATTAAGGGGGAAATGAAGGATCACATCCACTAAGAAATCTTCCTTAATTTGATTATTAGAATCCGACAGTAAACTCATTATTGGATCAGATCACAGCAGCATAAAAGGTCCCGTTATGTTTTGGCAGACTTTACTTTTTACCATGTAGGCTTACAGAACAAACAGAAACCTCTTAAATGTATTTATGACTATACCAAAAATCAGATTTTAAGAACTGGTAATATGAATGATTTAAATTAAAACCGTTGTAGTATTTAAATAGCAAAGATATTGTGTCATATTTGAGGATCTTCTGCATTTTATTGTTGAACAAGGCTTTCACGTGTTTAGGCCTTTTGTAAAATATTTTATGAGGATGTTTTTAGAGAGTCCAAAATTACATAAACACCGATATCTGGCATGTTTGTTGGCCTTTGATGTGGAAAAAATAAGAGATGATAATAGATGCAAAACCTAAGAGATACTACTTTGTTTTTATAATTGAGGTTGTGACCATATTTACTTAAAATATATATATTTTATGCAGAAAAAAGAATGTCCAAGGTACTGTAAAGGGCATTAACTGAGTTTAACAACCAACACATAAAGCAGCAATAAAGTTTTGAAAAGGCACTTTTCTAGATTTTGCACCATCTTGATCCATGATTTCCATGAAACCCTGTGTGTTTTTTCATTTATTTTGGTTCTATCCTCCAATAAAATAATAGTCCTGATCAAACCAGAAGAGCTCTAAATAACATGTTGGAGGTCTACAAAGCTATAACTAAGGAAACTCCTTTCCTTACATTAAACATTAAAATCAGGACACTATAAATACCCGTTAGACAAGGTATGAAACATCCCAAACCAGGCAGCAAAGGGACCAAGGGACCAGCCTCCAAATGTTTTAAAAGCACTCCAGCTCAGAATTTCTCTTTATTGGGGGATAATGAAATAAAAATGTCAGGATTTTTTTATAACTCTCAGAAAACTCATAGTGAGCATCTTTACCGTTTATTTAGTTTAATAAAACGCTTTCCTCAAACTCTTTGTAAACATTTGATAACTCTCCTGCTGTTGCTGTCAAAGAATACTGCCAGAGAGGCAGAAAAAAAAATAATGCATGACAAAGCATACAATAATGTTCACGCTGCAGTTTGTTCTCAGCAGTTTTTCTCAAGCCATAAAAATAAGCGGCACCACGTTTTACTTTTTGAAAATGATCACTTTTAATTCCTACAGTAGTAAACACACGAACACAACCTGTGTGTGTGTGTGTGTGTGTGTGTGTGTGTGTGTGTGTGTGTGTGTGTGAAAGAGAGAGAGAGAGAAAGAAAAAGAGAGAGTGTGTGCCAAAGCAATCAAACAAAATCAGTAAAATCGTCAACTGTTGAGACGAGTCGTTTTCTCTGCCCGGACACCTCGGTGTTTGATGCAGACGTGCTTTGCTGAAATGGTTTGTTCTGCTGAGCGTGTCCTTGGGTCAGCGAGATTCCAGGAGTAGAGCGGGACTGGATGTCTTCTTGAGCCTGGAATACAGCAGTGGGATGAAACAGGTGGGTGTAAATTTAGACTAGTTAATCATTAGTGACAGAGAACAACTTCTTAACTCTTGGGTTTTTAAACTTACTCTGGTTCGGATCCTCTTTATGTGCCGTAAACGTGCCAGCCACTTGGAAGCATAAGCATCCGAGGGATTCGCTCTGTACTGATGCACCAAAGAAGCCATCTAGACAAAGGAGATAAAGATCTTGGGTTAGTTTAGAATTTGGATGTACTGAATGTAACAAACTTGAATGTTACATTATTTTTATGTGTGCACTTTAACATCCATTTATTGTAATGGGATTTTATTTGATGAACAGACAAATATTTTACTGTGGAAAAATTGCTGGAAAGTGTGGAATGCATATTTACTCATATGCATATTACTATATTTAAAAAAAACCCTGAATGTTGGAGCTGTAACTAATATACAGTCGTATGTTTACATTATCACTGCTGCTTACCTTTATCACGGCTGCACTTTGAAAAAATTTTAATGTCTTGAGAGCTGTACTGAACGAAAGTTCTTTTTATATATACTCTGTGTACAAAATCACAATCAAATCTGTCTAAGTCTAAAAGTCTACTCAGTCCACTAATCTAATCTAAGGCCTTCAAGTTTTAGTAAAAAAAGTCCAAGTATTTTTAATATAATCCCAGTAAAAAATCCAGATGTTTTGTTGAAAGATGGCCGTGCCCTGTCCCTGCAGTAGGGGGCCTCTAAGCTCTAGTAGGAGGCTTGGAGGGGGCGTGGCCTTCCCTGTTACTGTGGAGTAACCTAAGCCTGCTCCATCACCGCCTACTTTAAAACTCCTTTAGCTTGCAACATCAGCAAAACTTTGTTTGTCCTCGCTTGTTTTAGTTGGTTTTATTGTGTATAATCTTCAATTACTTTGTTATACATTTAAAACTTTTAATGTATACATTGGAGTGATGTCAGCTTTCCGTCAGCTCTGGTTGTCATAGAGATCTTAATAAATAAAGATGGTATGGTACATTATGTAGGAGACACAACCTGAATGAGGAAGGTGTTTTGGTCACTTGAGCTTGCAATGATAAAATGATGAACAACTAATGCTGCGGCACAGAATCCCTTTTCTGAAACATGGAGGATGGCTGCATCATGCTGTGGGGAAACGTTTCCCCAGCAGAGAAAATAAATCTGTAAGACTTGGTGATGATTCATTGAACCCAATACAGTAGGGTTAGCCTAATTCTGGAGGAAAAGCTGTTAGAGACGACAAAAGTTTCGAGATTGTGGCAGAGGTTCACCTACTAACAGGAAAACGACCCAAGACGTACAAACAGAGCTACAATGGAATGGTTTAGAGTGCATGTGTTTCATAATGGCCTAGTCAAAGTTCAAAGCATAGTTGTGAATCTGTGGTGAGCTGACGGAGTTAAAGCTATTCAGCAAAGAAGAACAATTAGAAATGTCAGTGTCTATATGTGGAAAAGCTGGGGACAATCTGCTAAATGGTTCTAACAATATTTACTTAGTTTGGCTCAACACAAATGCGTGCCGCACGTTTCAGATTTTAAGTTCTACATCATTTCCCTTCTACTTGAAATTTGTGATATCAATTATGTTGTTTTATCTCAAAATGAATGCAAGGGAAATAAATTGACATTTGTGGCTGTAAGATAAAACAAAAACTAAAATATTTTCCCAAGGCTTTATAGATATAAGGTTAAGACTCACATTTGCATGCAGAGCCATCTGTCGAACCAAGAGCGGAAGGTTGCGGTCTGAAACGATTTTCGCCACCGATGGGTCTACGAGGCCCTCAAGGTCTGAAAGACAGAATAAAATGAAGCGCAGGAAAAATGATGAAGAGCAGAAAGGATCGAAATAAACTCACCCTTTCGGCATTGGAGAGAGACGAGGTTGCAATTATAATCCAGCGGTTTTATAATGACTTCCACAAAATTAAACTGACCCTAAACAAGGACAGAGACAAACTTTGTAATGAAAAAATTAAAACATATTCAAATGATTTCACTAGATACATTTACATATTTACCTTTATGGTGCCCAGTTTGTACTCTTCTCCAGAGTCATTGTAGACAACCATGACAAAGTCGTTGCCAATATGGCGCTTCTTGTTACAGCAGCCTTTGTCACTCTCCCGATTTGGCATTAATGTGGCAATGTGGAATATGGCTGCAGACACATTTTCATTCAGTTGGAACAGCCTTCAACATTAACAAAACTGAGGTAGAGACGTGCGTGCACACACCCTGCATGATGTCGTCATGCCAACAGTAGGTGAACTCTCCATCATCCCCATACTGGTCCAGTCCTCCCAGGAAGATCTGGTCGGGGTCACAGTCCTTCAGGTGGATTAATTTGCCGAGTCCGGTGAGGAAGGCTGCGTAGCGATTAGAACCATATTCATTGGACAGGATGGCAACTTCATTGTTAACCTGAAGAGTAAGAGTGAAGAGGATAAAGGTCATTGCAAAGTGCTGTAGGAATATATATTTACCACCTCATAAATGCTTATTTTTGATTTTTTTCCAAGCAGTCTTAAAAGTCCAACAAATTTCTATGTCAGACAAAGTCACCAGAATAAAGAAAAAGTGAAGCCTTTTAATATGATGACTCCATTTCTTTTAAGAACAGAACCTGTATAACAACCTGAGCTAGGAAGAAATGCCTAAAAAAGCAACAAATCAAATTTTAAGGAATGAAAAAAGATTAAAAGCAAATTCCCAGCACCAATTAATCCTACCAATCCACAGTGAGATCTGTTATAAACAAATAGACTTGGTGCAAACACTATTCCTAGTCAAAGTATGAACCTAAATGAGCACAACTTTAAACAGAATGTTTAAAGTTGGGGAACATTCCCAGGAGCTCAATATATATAGGAATTATTCCAAAAGCTCGGCCGCGACTCATCCAGGAGGTCACAGAGGAACCTAGAACAACATTTAAAACACTGCTGCCCTCACTGAAGCTGAAACAGAGGAGGCTACCTGCTGCTTCTGTCTGATGTGCAGGGATGCAACTGACCAGTAAGACTATCCAATCAGTCTAGAGGACAGTTACATGATCTGCTGACGGGAGCTCCTCTGGTTCAAGGCTAAATGTCCAACAACTGACTCCAAGGAAAAAATATTTCCAAATTATTTTGTAAAATATTCTGTAGATAAAAGCCGCAAGAAAAAAGCAGGATTTTTTTTGTTGAAAATCCTGATATGTTTGGTAAAACTAATCCAGCACTTCACAGAAAGAACATTACACAGTCAAACATGGTGTTGGTAGTGTGAATGTCTCTGGCTGCTTTGCTGCTGCAGGACCTGGATGACTTGATTTCGTCAAAGCAACTATGCAATCTGCTCTTCATCAAAAAACCTTGGAGTAAAACTAACCATACATTTGTGACGTTAAAGTTAAACTTGTGTTATGCAGCAGGACAATGATCCAAAGCTTAACAGTCCACCTCTGAACGGCTCAAAAAGTCACAATGATGGTTTTGGCATGGCCTAGTCAAAGTATGAACTTAAATTTAACTTGAATTTAAACAGAAAGTTAATGATTGAAAACCACAATGCGTTTTAACTGAACCCAACTCTGCATAGAAGAGCGAATTCCTAAAGATCAATTCATAAAACCAAAGTCTGATTTCAACACGTATTTTCCACTGTCCTTCCAGCAGTCACTACTACTTTGTTAACTTACTGTTGAGTGTTAATATAACACTATTATCAATATGTGGCATAGCAATGTTTTCATTACCAGCAATCCAATTAAAGATCAGGTAGAATTGCATCGGATCAAAAAGCATTGATTCTAAATCTGGAGAATTGGAGCCGAATCAATGAATCAAAGCTAATTAGGATGGTTTCTTTCCCTTAACAAATAGAATGATAATTAAAAAAAACTGTTTATTTATTAGAGAAAAAAAGTGATTAATCTATACAGATGTGCTGCTCCAGTATTATTACAACAGGTGTGTTCTCACCTGACCGGCTCCTACAAACACCACTCCAATCTTATGGGTATCATAAGGAGGCATTTGGTCCAGAACCTTCACAGCCCGATCAATCACCTGCAGCAGAGGCCATGAGAAGTTAACAGCTTTCTGGGAAGGATGACATCAACATTAACCTGAATAGTAAGCCTGAGGGAGGCGGTTTAAAAAGTCTGAGCTTTTATCAAATCTATTACATTAAATTCTAAATTGATGAATGAATAGTTAAAACATTTTATTTTTATAGGTCTTCAGCTATAACTGTGAATTTCTTAACTTGGTATCTTTTGTTCTATAGTTGTTAAATCTTGTTTAAGTTTTTTGTGTTGACACTAAAGTAAAATATACATTTATGAAGAATTCTTAACGTTCAAACATAGAAAATAACTATACACGTAAAATGTGGACTAATAAAGAACAATGCTGTAACTGTTAATACCTTTTAATCCAAATCTTTTAACATGCTGAGTAATCAATTGTACAATGAAAAGCAGAATGGAACAGGAAAGTGAGAGACCGTTTTTTCCAAGGCCTCTATCCTTACCTGCGTTTTGGGCAACAAGAGCGGCTTATTTGCCTCATTCCCAAAGAAAGGAGAGTGATACAGCTGAAGGAAGACAAAGCTGAAAACAAAATGTTAGTTAAATGTACCCAAATGCACATTTTATAACATTAAACAAATTAATCACAATTAAAAAAGTAAAAAAAAAAAAACTAAAAAAACATTCAAGGAATATATAGAAAATGGCTCCACATCACATCTATGATTACAGGGATAAATGTAATATTTCAAAGGAATTGCTGGTTTGTTTTGTTTGGAGTAAACAGTAAGTTTTATCAGTATGGCTGCTAAAAATCTGGATTTGTTTTTACATTTAGAGAAAAGATTGCACTCCATATGAAGGATTGTTCTGCAGTTTGCTTTGTCTCCTTAGAGTTGCTTAATGTTTACCAGCCTCCTAAAGGGAAGATAATGACTTAAAAGGGTTAAAAAAAATAAAATAAATAAATAAATTCTCCATCTAAACTGTGCTTTGAGACATAATGTAAAACCTGAGTGGACACACCTTGAGGAAAAAAAAAAAAAAACTTTCATCTCCAACAAACATCTACATGAAGTTGAGATCTTTGGCTGCTCAATCTGTTCGGCTGTTCTGTGTGTCAGTAACAGTGAACTAAAGCCACGGTCCAGCCTAACTGATACCTACCTGGGACTAAGTCCAGAGATCTTCTCTGTGTTGCTGGGCCCAGTTCGGTTGTGGTAGGAGTCCCTCTCCGTCTTCCTCTCCCTCCTGGAGGATGGGGCTGACACAGAGATTGTGTGACCACGGGGTCTGTGGCCTCCACTGGGAGAGATCGGCCCAGGTGCTGCAGGAGCAGCTGGAAAAGCCAACTTCATCGCAACTCCTCCGGCCTGAGACGAGGAGCCTGAGCTTTCTGCGCCTTGGACCGAACCTCCTGGTGCATTTAAGTCCACCCCTGTGCTCCCTTCTGCTCTTTCCTTGTCTAAATAAGGCTGCTGTGCCTGAGCCTTGCCATCTGAGGGTGCTCTGGGCCGAGACATGTCCCCCTGAGCTTTCTCAGACTCCAGAGCTGCTTTGGTGAAGGCCTCTGGCAAGGTCTGTAGCTCCGGGGACGAGCTAGACTTGTTCAGTCCGTGGCCCTGTGACTGAGAGTGGCTCTGAAACGGAAGCTCGGGCCCTTGGCTTCCTGGGGTGGAAGGACCAACACCGGGCTGATCGATGGGAATCGCTCCTTCGCTCACTTCTTCCAGAGTGGACTTTTCATCATCCTGACTGGAGGTAGAGGACGACTGAAAGAAGAAAGTCAACAATAATAGATTTTTAGCGTAGTTTAGCAGAAAAACTGCTAAGATCAGATAAAAAAACAAACAACATTATAGTATTGCAGTATGAAAGAACAGAATCATTAATTTCAAGAAAAATTAAGCACGGCTACCAGCTTGATCACACATTTTACTGATTAAACTGTCAGGCTTATAATGTATTGTTTGTTTTTTTATATTCCTTTCAGTTCTTCTAAACAGCAACCTGCCTTTTAAATAGCTTTATCAAGAAATAATGAATTTTTTTTCTAAGATAAATAAATACGTAGAATCAGAATAAAAAATAAACAATAGTTATTCTCTCCAAAAAAGCCTACCTAACACCTACAAAAAAAACTAAATACATATTGCAATTTAAATAGATAATATGTTTTTATTCTTTAAATATTTAAGAATAAAATCTATTTTGGATTTTTTTTTTTTTTTTTTTTTTTATCTTTCCCCACATTGTTAACCATAATTTGTTCTAATATTTAAAAGACACCTCATGTGTCACAAAAAAAGGAATTTTGTAAATGGAAAGGGATTTCCCACTGAAAATGTTTATATATCTTCATAATACAATGTATCAATAAAGTTTGGTAAAAAAAAAAAGAAAAGTGCCAAATCCATAAAAATATCTATATATTAACAATCAAAATAAAACATAAAAAAAAAACCTGAAGCAATTTTAAAAATGCACTCCCGTCTTCCTCCAGTATAAGTTTATGTGGCCGATTTCTCCCTGCAACTATTCAAAATGGGAGAGATGAGAGCACAGGTCATTACAGGGAGGAAACATGGGGTTGATCTTTTCAAATAAGGACATAATATAGAAAAGCATTTACTTTCTCAAACTTGGCCACAGATCAATTATTAAGAATCTAAAAGTAAAAGTTTTTCTTGCTCCTAAACACAGAGAGGAGGACCAGGTAAAAAAACAACAAAAAAAACAGAGCGGTTTCTTGGGAGTCACCCAGTTTCCTAAATATTTATTTTAAGATACTTATTGTAAAGGCTGTGATATGCAACTTATTTCTGCTGAAATTTGCCTTTAGTTAATAGGCGAATGGCAAAGGAACAATAGTTGCACATATCTCAAAGTAATGACCTTTTACTTTTTTAAAGTTTTAAACAATTTTTGTTTAGCCTTAACTTATTTTTATAGTATAAAAGAAATGACCCAGATGCTCCATCATGTTTGAATGAGAGTGGGTGAAAATGGGTTGTTTCTGTTCTTTCCTTTAGTCATGAGTGCAGGTATATATCCATGTATCACATGTGAGTCAGCCTGCAAATGGAAAGTAAATCTGCACGCAGCAGCAGTTCAGCAAAAGCTTAATTAGGCCCCAGGCTGCTACTTACCCTACTGAGCAAGGGAGCTTTCTCAGTAGACATGAAAATGGGCTCGGTGGGAACCGCCTCAAACTCTTCAACCTCCACCCACTCCAGTGGGGTGTGCTCTGCTGTGACCCCTGAGCCTTCTTCCAGTACCACCACCGAGTCTGCCGCAGGACACATCAATCGTTACATGCGTTACAGATGGAGGCATGGAGAAAAAACTTGCATATTAGCGCTGAAATATGTCCAGTGTTAGTCACACAAATGTATACAGCTGTGGGAACCGAACAGTAAAGATTTCAGCAGCTGTCAGTATTTATTATAGACACACTAACATTGAATTAGTTTGAGAGGCAAATTATTCATTCGAACAGGAAACAATCAAATAAGTTTCCACATCAATCAACAAACAACAGCCATGAATGAGATCACAACCTACAATAAATAACAAAAAGCACAGAGCTCAGATCATTTCGGCAGCTTGTTTCGACTCATCGCGCGTTCATCATCTACTTTATTCTGGTTCAGACTCATGCGTCCTCAGGCACTTCTTTGCTTTACTGATGTCCCAGTGAAACAAAGCGGACCCTGATGAAGTCTGAGCTTTCCTGTTGACAGCAAACATTAAGGGGCACCCTGGGTGTATATTTCAGAAAGGTAAGAGTTAGAGAAGATACTGGGAAAAATAAATAAAGAGGGAGCTGCTCTTCTACTGATTGATCGTTCCCGAGCAGGCATCAGTTATAGATGGATCCTCCCTCCAGGGTTAGGAAAGAACATCCAAGGAAAGCAGGGATGAAGAGGTTCTCAACTTGTACAGTTTGACCATAAAACAGATGGTCTTTCACACAGCAGAGTTTTATCTAAAGTGTTTGCATGATAGAAAATTAAAAAGATGGTTCTTTAACTCATCCCCTGCCTACGATGAAAAGCACATATTAGGGATTGTAAAGCTGATCTTAAGCTTAAATTTCTAAGGTTTTAAGTGGTAACATTCACACTCCAAAGAACTGTGGATGAAGTTCCTGTCAGGGATTTCATAAACACATTCCTGCAGTGCAAACAGCAAAAAAGTGTGCCTGCTGCTTGTACATCAAGGTCAGACGCAAGTATACAGCATCCTTGACGCTCGTGAAGCGCAGCCAGTAAAGTGTGTACATATGCATTTGACGCTTCTGCTGCTCCTGTGTTCAATGGCAGAGATCGCCTTTGCTATATTTGCTGTTATAAGAGGGTAAACGTTAATTTCATACATTTTTAAGTAAGAAAATCCACCTCAAAACATGTGTTCAGTCAGTTAAGACTGCGATCCGACTTTAAGATATTATTTTGCTGTCAGAGCCGCTTAGATCCCCAGATACCGGTGGTGCGTTACTGTTCATCGTGGCTGTAGATGTTAGCATTTTTCAGGTATGTGGTACAAACTACAGGGACCAGAATAATAAAAGAGAACATATTTTGCCAGCAAGCATATTTTCCACATTTTAAGTTAATTTAGGCATTAAACTGTTCCAGTGGAGTGATCATAGCGCTCAGCATCAGCAATGTGTCTCTCTCCCTGCCAGCTCAAAGATCAGCTTCTCTGATTGGCTGATGTGGCGTGTCGAGCAGCAAAAGATCAATTTTTCCAACTCCAGCAGCTATTGTTTGTGAAGAGCATCATGGGGCTCAGATAACCAGAAGCTCATGAGGTGCTGCTTCAGCTGCTCAGATGCACTGTTTGAGATGCGCTGCAGGACCTTTTGCTTCGCCTTGATGTGCATCAACCATTGACTTTGCATGTAAAACGGCTGCTTCTGCTGTTTCAGTCATGTGTGGTGTGAACGTAGCATTAGAGACACAAAGGTTATTGGCAATAAATCTTGTTCTCTTGGAAATCCAGTTTAATTCCCCCTTAATTTTGAACAATTTCTAAAGGAAACAAGTTCCCTGTTAAACCTATAATGAGGCTTTCAGTATGACATAGACACCAATGGAGAGGCTAAAGAGGAGTAAAATGGAGTAATACAGCATCCACAATTTAAATTTATTTTGGAGGGGTGGGTTAAAACCCAATAATCAGCTGCATAAAAGGTCTTATTACTGAGCTTGACTATAAAGGTTTTTGTACCAAATTCAAGGGAAATGCCATTCATCTCTGGTCTGCAATTTCTGTGTGTTTCACACACCAAAGGCACTTCAGAGCGTGACTAACACCAACCAGGAGATCCCTGGCCATCCTCCTCCCTTTCTCAAGCCCCTCTAGAGGATCGGCCATCTCAGATGGCACGCAGCATTCTGAGACAGCCAACACCACGGACACTGGGTGCTTCAGCTGCTTCCATCTGAGGGGTTAAAAAGCAACTAAGTCTCAGAAAAACTAATCTTGAGCCCTTTTGAATGCAGACATTTAAAACCATCATGTGTCATCTCAGGGTTATGGGTGATAGGCATATATATAATGCTTTACATTAATTGCTTACCAATCAAGTATGTGCAGTTTGCTCATTTATCATGTCGCACATCTTTCTTTTAAGTGCTCTCCATTTTACTTTAGCGTGTCTCTTTTTTTCCGATAAGTGCATGCTATATTTAGTTATTGATTACTTATGTAACAGGTTTACACCGAGGGTAGAACTCTGCTCCAGTTTTGTTGTGCTTGAGCATGGCAGTGAAACAGCCATAAAGGTTCTTAATCCTACGGACTAAAACAGAAAAAGTGCTTTATTTGTTAGAAAACCTAAATAAATCAATAGGACATTAATAATCTATTCCTTCACTGTGTGTAAAAGTTAACTTGTTTTTTATATAAATATATATATGACCAAGTACATTAATTTAATATTTACATTTGTTGTCTATTTAGGATTCATGTAGCTCTTTAATAGGTTTGTTTTAGATGTATAATTACTAGATATCCAGATAGACTCTAAACTATCCCTGCATTGTTAGTGAAAGACCACTGTTTTGTACAAGTGAGAAGAAATATACGACTTTTCTGGAAGGGAGGGGAGAGGTGGGGGGGGGGGGGGGGGGGGGGGGGGGGCTCACACATGATGACGGTACCTGCCCAGGAAATGCTCCTGTGCAACCTGCCAGGGGCTGGAGGGGCTGGGGGGGCACTGGCCATACCCAGAGACCAGAGCGAGCCGCCCACTGCAGTCAGGATGCAGAGGGGGGAGGGGAAATCAAGGGCACATGGAGCCACAAAACACACCACAGCCAATCACAAACCAGCATTTCCACCAGGGTGAAGAAAAATTTTAAAAATAGAGTCAAAAAAAAATATCAAACAATAGGGAAAAAAGTATTTAAAAAAAGTGAATAAAGAGATATTTAAAGACAACTAACTGAAAAGAAATGGAAACTCAAATACAGAAAACAGGCAGACAGAAAGGGCTCGTTGTTGCTTTATATCTATAGTGCCTGGCAGGGGGGTTTGTAGCCATTTCATTTTTTTCACATTTGGTCCGCAAACCTAAATTTCTTTGGAGGTCCAGTCTTCAGCTCACCAAGAGGAGGTCAGAGGAGACAAAAACAAAGTGCTTTTTGGCCAACTAAACACTTTGAGAGGAGGGAAACTAAAACGTCATTGCTCACTAAAAACATCTTTGCTACTGTGAAACACGGTGGTGACAGCATCATGCTGTGGGGATGCTTTTTCTTCAACAGGGAGGTTGGCCCTTGAGATAAGTTGGTGGGGAAATGGATAAAGCTGAAAAAAAATTAGGCTCAGCATGAATCCTGAGCTACAACTAAGCAGTTTCTCCTTGAAGTTGGGAATTGGCGTTCCAGAAGTGGAAACATTTGGCCAGCATAGGCAGTATAAATGACTCACAGGTCCCTTGTTTTATTTTTAATAATTTTCTTATCTTAAAAATGCGCATGTTTTAACTGTAAATAAAAAAATTAAAAAAACATAATTTTGTAATCAAATTGTTTATTTTGAGGATTTTGGCCGGCATACCAAATAGTTTGTAATCCAGTAGTTTATGATAATAGGTTTGAGTTATATTTGCATAAGGAGAAGAGGAAAAATATTTGAGTCTGCAAACATGCAAAGCTGATGGAAAAAAGAGTCAACTAAAGATGGTTAAAAAAAGTCTGCATCTAATGCATGTCAGTTTTACTATTAAACCATTTCCAACATATGCAGCATGTTGGCTGGTCTGATAATAGGTAGGAGGCTGCAATACTAAAAACAAAAAGGAGGGAAAGTTCACGGGTATCAGAACGTTTTATCAGCACCAAATGTAATCGGGCACTAAAATCTGCTCCATTTCTGTAAATCTTTACTTTTTTATACTGTTACACACCTGTGTTGGAGCGCTGAAACAAGTTTGTCTTTCCGCCACCACTACTGTGTGTTTGAGTTAGAGGTTCAGACACAGATGTTGGCGCTGGAGCGGCTGTGCTGGCTGGAGCACTAGCTGTCTGAGTAGGAGGCTCCTTTACTCCCTCCATTGCCATCAGCACAGTGGAGAGCTCCTGCAGAGGCATGTTACCCAGCTCAGAGGAGAAAGGACTGGGTGGGTTCTCCAGACACATCAGCCAGCTGGTGTTACCTGAGGTGAAAGAGAGCCACAAAACACACCTGCAAATGTTGTATCACGCTATATCAGATGACAGAATGCTAAGATGGACCTAGTCCAGCGAGGTCATACCTGAAGGTCTCCGAATGAAGATTTCTGCCCAACCCTGAGTAAGCATTGGAACAAATTCAGCTAGGCTAGGGTTGTCTTTGAGAGGAGGGGGGGCAGACAGAGGGGCAGAGGTGGAGGAGGGAGGACCAACACCATCTAAGGTGGGGCCAGAGGAGGGAGAAGAAGAAGGAGCCAACTCTCCTTCTGAGGGAGAAACTAGAGGACTGAGACTCTGAATAGGACCAGCCCGCAGTGCATGACCACCTGGAAACAGGAATGGATTATTTTTAAAACACAGAGAGACCTCCTTCACACTGCGTCAGTGACAAAAACATCCTGAGATGTTCACACCTAAAGGTGAAGAAAAACACTCAAAACAAGACAAATGATTTAGAGAAGAGTAATAAAATAGCCACAACAGAACACAAGCTGTAAAAAGAGAATGGCCTCACTGAAAACGCATTTCTATAAAGTAAGGAATAGGTTACTGGTGTTACTGTTATTGATTTTATTCAAACATCAATAAGAGACAGAAATAAATTAGATATCCAGCAGTGAGAGAGAAAGCTACCCGATTTCAGGGGCTGCAGATAATAAGTAGGACTGCGTAAATTCTTACCTGATCTAGAGCGGACCCGGGTCCGAGCGGTCCTATTCTGTTGCTGACTGGACTGCGACTCCAGTTTGGCCGGAGCCTCTTTGGTCATTCGGGTGTGAAGTGACGGATCTGACCTGCAAACCCAGCAGATTTCAGGACTCCTTGCACACATAGAAAACCACTCAAACCAAACAGCAATTTGCTTAAACCTTTTGGTTTTGAATTGTAATAAAAATAAAAGCATTAAGGCGTGTAATAAATAAAAGTGGATTGTGTCAGGTATGATTTCTTTAAAATGTTAAACATGTCTCTATTTACTAAAAATGATGAGTCAGAAAAGGTAAGAAAAAAACTTTACCTCGTCATTTCTCCTCCTCCTCCTCCTCCTCCCAGACGCTCAGACATATCCAGGTCCAGCAAGGCTTGTGTTCTGACCCCCCCACTGGTTGTGATGGTGATAAGCTTGTTGCCCACCAACCAGGTCATGCTGCGACCTCCGGCTAATAGAAATTCTGCAATAGGAGACCTAAAAAGACAACAAGAAGCCAGGTGATCAATATTTCCTTAACACATTGTTACAGCTTGAGATCTAATAAATAGTTAATTGCAATAAAAATCAGCTGATGACCAAACTGACGATTTCCAGCCTGATCAACCAGGACAGGCGAGCAGTCGGTCAAACAATATAGAAATCTAAATGTTTTCTCACCACACCCAAGAGCTAGATAAGATACTAGGATACAGTACTGAGTAAAACTTTTTACTGAGAGGAAGTTTTTACTGAGGGAAGAATAAATTGGAAATTTTTGTTACCATTAGAAAACCACAATGACATTTTGTTTTGACTAAGCAGATTAGACTTTAAAAAGACCATTTATATCTGAATAAAGTATTCAAAAACAGTTTGTTAAAACGTTTGAGCTCTGACATAATTTCAAATTAAAAATGTTGACTCTTCATTCAGGAATCTACTTTTCAGTAATTTTTGTTTTATCTTTTTGAGATACTATTAGAAAGAAAGGCTATAAATTAAGTAAGAACGAAAATAAGAAAATATTTAAGTGAGAGTACTAAATCAAGAATGAAGCTTCTTTTTTTTTATTAAAGAAAAAACTAATATAAAAGCAACTTCTCTCTCACATATAGTGACGTTACTACTGACTTGATATTAAAATTCTAATATATCACCAGAGAAAAAGGGTTTTTAATGCTGTTTTGTCATCTTGCAAAAATAAAAACCAACTAAAATTTGTAATCCTTTGTCAAATCAGCTTAAACGTGAGTTCTGCGTCTCTAATAGAAACAGAGTGACCCTCACTGACCTCTTAGGCAGAGCAGAGAAGTTTGAAAACACATATCGTGCCATCATGTCAAGACAAGTCTCCGTGAGCTCCAGGTGGACTGTCTTAAGCCCCTCGTCGGCCTGAGTCACTGCATTTTCATCAGCAGAGCCCAGGCTGCAGGTTGTGGTTGAAGTGTGCATCCTATGAGGGGCAAAGAACGAGATATTGGAGCAAAGAGGACAAAGAGAAAGGCATGCAGTCCAAAGGCATGCATGGGCAGAGACAACAGGATTGGAAATAAAAATATGCAGAGAAAACAAACCAGGGATTTAGGTTCTATCTAAATCATGTGCAAACCAAGCATTTACATGCATGCATCCAAGCAAAATAATACTGACAGAGACTTTTTCAAGCACACAAAACATAGACAAAGGCTGGGACATGGTCTGAGTGAGGTTTGATGGTGCAATTATTTCTTCTTATTGAATGGAAAGAAATTTTTCCTATGAGGTATTTCTAATGAAAGTGGCTAATTGAAGACATATTTCTGGTTAAAGAACAATGGAGTGAAGACCGGTAACTCGCCTTCTGCAGAGAGAGCAGCACTTACATACATAGAAGATTCTGCTCTCTCACTCAGATCTAGACAAAAACAGGATGGGAGCTGAAAGCTTTATTAGACGCTCATAATGAGTCCTTCACAGCCGCGCTCACGGCCCCCTGAGATGTCTGTTCTTGACAGGATGGATTATTTAAGGCTGCAGAATGTTGCAGTCCAAATCATTAAGATGGAGAGAAAAAAAAAGTGAAGGGAGGAACAGAAAATGAATTGAATAAATTGATCAAATCATAGTGTCATATGAGCTCATTTGCTTTCTGTTTATCTTTTTTTTGTTTGTTTGAAAAAACATGCTTGAATTAAATAAATTAACTAATTAAAAAGCCTTATATTTCACATAAAGAGTTCATTTGTTCTCCGAGTGTCTTCTCCTTTTAGATGTTAAATAAAGTTCCTCAATCAGACCAAGCCCTAATAAATCACTTCTAATGAGACCCCCTCACACACACACACTTACCTGTCTTCATTTGTACATAAATACTTTATTTAAATCTCCAGTGAACACAAACTCCATTGAAATATGACCATGAACAAATTTATATCCTTTTAATTAAACTCAGGTTGAACTGATAAAAATCAGACATGGTCATATTGGAGTTAATGTTCAAAGGTTTGAATCTGACAACATTAAACAAACCCTCAAAAATTTGAAAGGAAAAAAATAAATAAATATGCAGCCATTCACCAAATGATGCTGGTGAAGAAGATCTACACTGCAGTCTTCTATTAATAAATCCTTATTAGTGTAACCAAGAGCAACTGGACACATTGTTGTTTTGCTGCCATCTGTTGAGAAACTGAGGTATATTACGACATAAAAAGTTTTTATTCCCACTAGCTTTTGTCACATTTTGCCACAACCACAAACGGCAACATAATTGATGGGATATTATATGATGGACCAACATTGATTGTTTAAATGTTTGTTTGTTTTTTACAATGAAGCAACAAAGAAAAAAGGAAAATCAAGCATGACACCACTAAATAAAATTCTGTAATACAAAGTGGTTTTAGAGAACCTAATCTAAAACCTGAAACTAGGGCAGAGATTAATTCTGCTGTTGCTAACATACATTTTTTCAGCTAATTTTTACTTGTTAAGATGGATGGGGGGAAAAGTGAAAAAATTTAGCTGTTTTTCTTCCACTACAAAGTTGTTGATGTTTGTCTATCACATAAAATCCACATCACATCGATGTTTGTGGTTGTAAAGGGACTTTTCTCCTAGCTGCACTGTAACCACATTGAACTGCAGTGTTTGATCTCCTTTTTTTAGCCACACGAGTAAAAATGAGGCAAACAAGCAAGGTAGACAAAATGTCTGAAGACGTGTGTGTGTTTGTGGTGATGGAGAGCTTTCTGATTAAAACCTCAGCTCAGCCCAAGCTAACTCCCATCTTCCCAGACTAATAGATTGCCATGGTCATAGCAGCATAGTGGATGCTCCATTGAAGCCAAACAAAAACAAAAATATGTCAAGCAGGCAGACATAGCTGTTGTGTTGCTGTTGTGGCCAACAATGGAGGAGAAAGCAGAAATTGAAAAAAAGCCAAAGCTGGGGTCACAGTTGCTGTCGAAGAGAAAATAAATGTAGCAGCACTCTGAACACGCACCAGTCTCTCTCTGCATTCATTTGCTGAGGCCAATCAAAACCACTCAGCATTTCGCCAAGCAAACATGTAACATTTGAATCAGAAAGTACCAGGAAAATTATAAAACAATAAAGCAAAATTTGTGTTAGAGCAAGGAAAATACAAAAAAACAACAACATTCAAGTGGATCAAGATGTTTTCCAACTGGCTTTAACAAACACTGCATGCAAAAGCAAATGACATTGACAAAACCCAAAACAGCACACACAAAAAGACAGCCAAAATTAAACCAAAAAGGCCATCACACACCTTCCTCCAGCATGCACCACCTGTTTTAGGAGTCCCTATTACAACAACCCTCCCCTACAACTGCTCGACGGACCCGTCTGACCCCCATCAACCATCCCATGGAGGAAGCAACAAGTGTTAGGCTGTTACCCATGTTTTTTGGTTTTATTTCTGCTTTGTTACCAAGGACGTTCTCTTCTAACCTGCGAACCGCGTGTTCAGAGACGCTGATGCTGCGGGAGCGGAAAGCCTCCATGGCGGAAAGGTCCCTCAGCTCTTTAACTGGAGAGCTGCTGCTATTGGCTACAGATGCTGAAGGCTTTGCCACTTTTCCAGCCCGCAGACTGGGCGGCGGGGAGCGTCCGTGGCAAAGAGTGGCGGGAATGGGGCGGGCATTATGTGGGGGAGTAAAGGGGGTGGGTCGTGATGAGGGCAGCGTTGGTTTGGGAGCAATGGTAGAGGAGTGGTTTTCATAGTACACCAGGAGACAGCAGAGATGATCACCAGAGCACCACAGCAACATGAGCAGGTGGCGAGGGGCAAAGGCCAGGCAGTAGAGGGAGGGGGGAGGGCACAGGGAACAGACATCACAGGGTGGGAGTGACAGGAGGGGGGGCCAGGAGCAATGTGGAGGGGATCCAGGATGACACAACCATCCCCAAAACCACAACCACAAGGCAGCACCCAATCGCAGGAGGCAGCAGAGGAGGGGGGGTCAAATAAAGAAAACAAAACAAACAAAACAAGGTGAAAATTAACAGCAGTGAACAACATGATTCACATAACAGGAGAAATGAGAAAGAAAAGAGGGTTTAAGAAAGGATAAAACCAAAATAAAGACACCAGCTACAAGCAGAGGGTCAACCAGCCTCCGTTACTCAAAAATTAAAAATACAGAGGAAGTATTCAGGAGAGCAACAAAATACACATTTCAGCAGGTTCAAAGTGAAGTAAACAGCTAATATGAGAGAAAGATAGAGGTAGGGATGGAAATATGGAGGACCAGAAGTGCAACAATTCATAGTAAGCCTGTTAAGAAATCTCTAATTTGTGTAAAAATATTGAAACATATAAAAAATATCACAAAAAATATCATACTTTATAATGTAATAGAATAATAATAAAAGCATAAAAAAATCCTTAATGTAAAGGTTATATGTAATTATTATGTCTTCATTTCCAAGTCGATTTTTAAATTCACTAAGAAAAAAAAAAAAAAATCAAGGGGATGGAAAAAGTCTGCTGAAGACAAAAAAGTGGTCTTTAGGAAGGATGTTAACCAACCAGACTTTAGGCTATTTTTGACTAAAAATGGCCACAGTTAAAATTATTTAATGATGAACTAAAGCACAGAAATATCAAAATAAATCATTCAAAATTACATGATTACACAAATTAATTCAGGTGTGCCTATTTTTTATTTCATAAATTGAAAAGAATATAATGAATAATGGATTGTTTTGAATAGTTATAACCTTCTTTTAATGATGACATGTATAATGTTGGAATAAATATGGATTTACTGGATTGTGGCACTTCTGACCCATGCTAGGACAAAAGCACAAGCAAATTAAAAGTAAAACATCGAAAATTAAAGAGAAACTGTCAGACTACAATTATGAACTAAAGAACGGCTTGTAGAATATTAAAAGAAACAAAAGAGAACTACTTTGGATTTAAATAAATTAATTTAAAAAGTAAACCAGCACATGAATGAATGTAAAGAAATCATGCTGAGTGCTTATCATTTAGTGGACATTAACAGCTCAGGGATGATGATATTATATGTGAGCTACTGGAGGGGGTATTCTTTTCATATAGTATTAGAAGATAAACCACAGAAGTCTTGCAACCACAAATTGAACTGTTTTACATTAAGGTTTTATATCATAGATTACGGGTCTCCAAACTAAGGCTGAGGAGCTAAAACTGAGGCCAGGAAATAAAAAGGAAGTGTTTGATTGTGCATTTTATTCTGCCTTAAAAAAAAAAAAGATAGACAAGTCAAAGTACATTTAAAACAATGTAGGGTGCAACACAGAATGCTATCATCTGTTGTCACCCATGCATTGCTTTCGTTTTAATTGATTAGTAAATATTACCATCAGACATCCATTGGGGAACCAACCAGTTGGACATCGATTTAAAACACTGGCTATATAGAATAAGAACTTTTAAAGACGTTACCAAATCCAGAGATCAATACAAGAAAATAATAAAAAATTGGGAGATCTTATTGCTTTCACCAAACCAGTAAGATTTCATGTTTTGTAACTACATTGATTGAATATTGATTTCTTAATTCTATCAAACTATTCTGTGTTTGGTGGTGCAGTGGTTAGCGCTTGATCCATCTACGGAGGCCTTAGCCCTTTACGCGGCTGACCCAGGTTTGAATCCGAGCTGTGGTCCTTTCCCGCATGTCTCATACCCCCTTTTCCTGTCATCCAACTGTCAAAAAAAAACCCAACCCACCAGTGGTGTAAAAAATAAAAATCTATTCTGTGTTTTTTTATGTTTTCTTAAGTTTAATTTTTCTTTACATGTGAATATAAAACATTTAAAAAATATCCATCCATCCATCCATCCATCCATCTTCCTCTGCTTATCCGGGGTCGGGTCGCGGGGGCAGCAGCATTTAAAAAATAATAATGCCTTAAATTAGAAATCAACCAAAACATTGTAGTCTGCAGTTCCTTTCAATGTCAGTTTGGAGTCGGTGTATAAAGGTTTGGACACCACTGTTATAGACCGATACAAAGGATGTATAAATGTGAAGTGGACAGAAAAGAATTGAGGCTTTTCTGGATCCTATTTCTTAAACTAATCTGAAAAGTCTGCCATGCATTTTTGTTTTCATCCCTCCTGAGGCTTTAATATAACTACATATGCAGGTCTTTCCAAGTCGACCTGTTCTAGCTTTGCATATCCTGACAGCCTCTGTGAGCAAATATGAAAGGTTGTCACAGGTTCACAAATGGATTTGGGGGAACTTTGACTAGGCGATTTTCACATTAACAGATGGACAAATGACTGCACTGAAATCTATTTAGTGGTATTTGGATAAAACGGGCTGACTAGTAATGAACAGCAGGTTTCAGATATTCATCTGTGATGAAATGCTGACGATCAATTGAGCAACACTTTGTGTTGGTCTACCACATAAATTCTCAAAAAAAGACATGAAAAAGTGTGGTTGTTGTTTGCCAAACTGTAAAAATCTTTAAAGATTATGAATACATCTCACAAGGCACCGTTCATGTAACACTGGATACTGGCTGATTTTTAATACCGTGTTGTAATAATAAAGAAAGCAACACATTGTTTGAGAGTTTTGGAGGTTGGGAGATAAATCTTAATGGTATTTAGAAGAAATTATTTCAGTTTTAGTAAGTGTGTTTTTATAAATAAAAAAAAAAAACAGGGAAATGTTAGGTTGGACTGAAAGGAAAAACTTCAACTCCAACTTTCTGTTTCTTTAGCTCAACCTGGTAGTTAAGGGAAAGAGTGAGGGACTAAATATAAAGGCAGCTGATTTATGATGCAAGCAGCTAATAAAAAAAAATAAAATAAAAAAACATTAGATGAAATGCTATGACATTATGCAGGATAAAGTTAAAATGGCACCCACTATGAGACGTTTGCAAGACAAACTGTGACAACTAAAAAAAAAACGAGAACGGAAAATGTAGAAGAAATATTGATCACCATGGCAACCTGAGAGGAACCAGAGCAATTAAACACATCAGCGTATTTACCCCCATCCCTCTTACACGACCTCAGCTGCAAGAGCTGCGCACTGCACTGCCAGCTGCTACTTTGGCTGCATGAAAAAGCGTTCTTTACCTTTTGGGCCTTTCATTCAGGCTTGTGCTTCGTGCACGGAAGGGGCTTTGCTCGTGTCCGTCGTCAAAAGGCAGAAGGGCGTTGGAGCGCAAACCCTGCAGAGAGGCACCCAGAGAGATGTTAAGGTGTAACTTTGAAATGACCATGTTATTTAGGCCTCACGTGAGTCTAGATGTGAAGATTAAGAAAAAATAAAGGGTAAAAATGCAAAGATTCTGCAATGTAAAAAAAAAAAAAGCAGATCATAATGGCAGAGCAGCACATAAAAAATAATTAAAGAAGATAAATAAAAAAAATCTAATAAAAGGTGCGATAACCCTTGGAACATAAGTGTTCACAACCCTAAAAATTATACTCTACTGGAGCGTTTTGTTTACAGTAAATCTTAATTATGGCAAATTGGATCAACTAGAAACAAGCTTTAGCTGCTCTAATGCCACGTTCACAATGCACGCCATTGAAGCAACAGTAGCAGCTGGTTTATATACAAAATCTATGGTTGCAGTATCAAGGTGCCTCAAAAGGTCCTGCAGCCCGTCTCCTGCAGCAGGAGCAGCTAAATCAGTGCCTCGTGAGCTTCTGAGGCGCGTGACGAGCTTCACAAGCAGCAGCTGACAGAGTTGGAAAAACATTTTTGCTGCTCGACGCGCGACATCAACCAATCAGAGAAGCTGATCTGGGAGCTGGCAGGGAAGACAGACAGCACTGCTGAAGCAGAGACTATGACCACTCCACTGAAACAGTTTAACGCCTAAATTAACTTAAAATGTGGAAACCTGCCAGCAAAATATATTCGCTGTTATTCTGGTACCTGCATTTTTTACTATACCTGAAAAACACTAACATCTACTTCCAGCTGCGACGAACAGTAACGGAAAACTGCTGCTGGGAATTCCCAATGACAGCGAACTGCCTGTATGTGGGGATCTAAGTGGCTGCAATAGCGGAATAATATTTCAATGCAGGATCGTAATCTTGTTGAACTGAATGCACAGACAATGGCTTGAGATGGACCCTCTCACTTCAAAATATATCAAAACTACTTTTTACCAGCTTATCACAGCAAATATAACATAGCCACTCTCTGCCATTGAACACAGGAGCAGCAGATGCATCAGATACATCTGGACACACTTTACTGGACGAGCGTCACGCGCGTCTGACCTTAATGTGTACAAGCATCAAAAATGAAGCAGTAAGCCTTTTTATTTGCTGCCCAAAGTGTGTCCGATGTAAATGTAGCATACAAGGATTTCCCAGACATTTGCAGCGTTTAGCTAAAGGGTCAAACAACTCCTTTTTTCAAGAAAAGAGAAAAAAACCCACAGCATTTAAAGCAAATATTAACAAAAAATTAATAAGACAGTTATCAATAAATGGATACGATATGGTAATATTACCAAAGAATTTACTTATTTCTAAAAAATGATGAAAAAGCAGTCAAAACTAGTCAGTCAAAACGTCGACGGCAGCACAGAGAAAGCTGCAACCGCTTCCAACAAGTGTTGATTGTGTTCAGCATTTGAAGAGATCTCCTGATCAGCAAAGTAACAACTTTATCAAATAAACACTACAGTGTAAGAAGGTCCCAGCTTGCCAAGGAGACAGAAAAAAAGTCCTTTAAGTCTGCATACACCTCTATCTTTGCCTGTACATCCTTAAACGTTCTTGTAGTTTCTGTTCTACATTTCCTTGAAGTTTTGGTAATTTCAAAAAGTACAAGCAATCACACTGTAGATAACAGTGTTGCCTCACCTTGGTGATGTATTGAACAAAGTCCTTGCGGAAGGGCAGTCTGCAGCGTATGAACCACATGGCAATCACATGGTGGGCCAAGGATACAATGTACTGGTTGAACCTGATGGAGAAAAAAAAAACTGACATGTCAGAGGGAGCTCATGGAGCAGACATAATGCATACTAAAGTGTTATAGTACTGACTTTGAGGGGTTGGTGTAGGGCAGCGAGATGGCGAATACGCTTACATACTGCTCAGCTACAAAGTTGGCGTACAGATGGGGCAATCGCACCAAAGCTGTGAAACAACAGAGGATACGACAGATTAAACACTTTATCAGGGTTACAGCTGGAACGTATCTCCAGAAATCCACGGGAAAAATATAAAGCATGAGTTAAAAAAAAAACATTAGCTTTAAGAACTCACTGGAGAGAAACTCCAGCATGGGAGAAGCCATAGCAACAGTAGCAGAGATGTGGGTGAGCTTGACGATAAGAGCTGGGAGAAGCTTGATCATGATGTCAGGCATCTCCACCGTGCACATGGTAAGGGCCACCACACACTGTTTGGCACATCGATAAATGAGGCCGGTCTCAAGACACTGAACTAACTCTCTCTGCAGAAAGGGAAAAATAAAATGAAGTCAGAAGGAGTCAGCGTGAAAATCTACTAACATCTGACTAAAAAAGTGATTTGATCTGCCAGGATTTCTAAAATGTGAATCTAATCACGTCCACCTGTCTGGATTGCTCCAGGTAGCTGTGGTAAGAGGTTATCGCTGTAAGAACCGGGACCACTGCCAGCTGAACGTCTGTGCGCGAGAAACCCTCTGGCATCTTTTTCAAACGCTCTGAAATCTGACGATCCGTCACCTTGGCAGAAATATTAAAAGGAAAAAAAATTAACAAGTAATCAATAGTTAGCCTTGCCACATGAGGACTTGTTAAAGATGGGATGAAACGTTTAATTGATGTGCTCTCCTGACGTACTTACTGTCAAAACTAGGGATATTCAGCTACTAATGATTGAAAAAGAAAATTCTTAAAAGAAAAATGCTCCTTTGTCCATTTGGTTTCTTTGCCCCATGTGATATCCCTTCAGGATAGACAACAAGTCAGATATACACACTGGAACTGATAGCAATAGGGACGAAAATACTTATATTTCAATGGATGATGAACAAAATCCAGTCTACAAATATTTCCTGTAACTGTGGACTCCTACGTTCATGCATGATGCCTCGTGGAACAAGGAAAAGGTTTAGGCCTTTTCAGATAACTCAGAAACCACTACCCTATTGAGAGTAATGCATTGCTACACATCTGTGTGATTGCATATAACTGCCAAAATTCATCAATTCAAAACCAAAGCTCCTTCCCTTTAGCTCCTGTCAGCTGAGACCTGATTACCCAGTGTGACGTCACTGGATTTATGGCAGCAGCTGAAGCATTCGGTTGTTCAGGGCTTTCTTGGATTTTGCTAAACAATTTGATTTAAAAATATAAAATAAGAAAAAAAATGTGCTGCTTGTTAATAATAACCGCCCAGTCCTCGTTGGAGAAAAAACAAAGCTCTATTCCTCTTATTAACTAACTATTCATCCCATTTTGAACATTTGAGAGAAGGTTTGCTACCATGGCGCAGAGCGTTGAGCAGAGGTGATCCAAGCTGCACGCTGAAGTTAATAAAAGGACTTTGAACTGCAGCATCCATGGCAGCTTCTCAAGGACGACTTTCAGAACCTTCCAGTCAGTCTCCTGCAAAATAAGAGTATAGGTGAAAGCAATTCATAAATGTTTAATGTGCTCCGACATGTTTAGAACAAAAAAAGAAGTATGCATTAGAAAGCTCACAAATTAGGGGGCAAAGTTATTTGGCAGATACACAGCCATTGCCTCATCAGGTCCGAAAGTGAAGTTTGTAACCTGACCAATAAGGCTTGTTCCATGCTGTGATTAATATCTACTCCTCTCCAATTAACTAAATACTAAAAAATAATAAAACCCCCCTTTTTTTTTTTTTATAAATAAATTTTGACCCTGTTAAATACTAAAGGTTTAGATAAACACCACATGTAGCTTCTTCCCTGTGTTTTACTGTCAAAGATTTTGTCTCAAACTCCAGTCATCATCTGATGTCCTACAACTTTTAGTGACATCCTGGCTGAATTACAAGTTCTTCCAATGGCCTTGATATTTCATCAGTTGAGCTAAAGAACAGATACTTAACAGCTAAACAGTTGGTATTTTAGAGGGTCAGTATTTTGCAACTCTTGAATGCGACCCAAGTCTGAAATACCTCCTCATAGAGCCAATTTCTACAGATTCCTGTTTATGGCCTAATAATGTGATTCAGGTGTGTATAGCAGAGGAACAGTAAACAAAACAGCTGCAGGAGTTTTGACAAATGTGCTCTAACAGAGGACACAAAAAGGTGAAGCTGCTGATTCATTAAATATGTGTTTACCAGAAGATATTTAAGCTTATAGGGAAGTCATTCTGAGGCCTGATGCTAAATCAGACAAACTGAAAAGTGGGAAACACAACATTGCTGCCCGTTTTGTTTCCACTGGAAAAAAGTCTCCATCAGTCTGTAGTAGTTAGGCTCTTTAAAGCATACCGAGTCGCAATACAAACCTTTTTGGGTGAAAGGAGGTAAAAACTGGAGCATGCGAGTGTGTTGTCTTCAATCTGTGTCATTCAGTATATTTGTTGTCTTTTACAAAATGGAAGAAAGTTTCTAAAATAAATCTGTTTTGTTTTTTTAAACTTAGCCATACATGAAAATTTATGAAAGTTTATTCAAATCTTTTCAAGAATTAAAAGGCACACTGAAAGGTTGATCTAGATCATGTGTCTGAAAAACCTATGATTTCCAATATTCTCCCACCATAAATCTTTCATTCCCTGTTAACCTAAACAAAAATAATAAAATACCAAATTTTTGACTTGTTGTGTTATAGGAAAAGTTTCTGTGTATACCATCTTGAGGCACTGCAGGAGGACGGTGAAGGCAGGCACGTACGGAAGGTAGGCTGAACGAATGGAGGTTGTTGAAGCAGGAGGAGCAACACCTGGAGCAGGACTGCCAGCAGGGGGCGATATGGAACCTGCAGGCTTTTTATCACAAATACGCTTCTCCGGTTCCCTGAAAAAAAGGGGGAAAAAACAGTTTAGTAACAATCAGGCCACATGAAGCAAGACTAGCATCTTTTTGGCATGTTGCTGTTTTTACCCTGCATCACAGTAGCAGTAAGGGCTGAACCTCATCACACCATCCTTATTGGGCACCCCCACACGGTGCAGAGAGTCAGCACGCATCATCAGGAAGAAGTCAAACACCTAAACAAAGATGTTAAAGAGTAAAACATCAACATTCTGGGAATAATGCAGGATGAAAATGAGCAGAGATGATAGTTGCACAGAAAATGGACTGATTCCTACCTGGAGTCTGATGCTGGAAGCGACAGCTGAGCAGTATTTGTTCTTATAGTGAAGCTGCAGGTGGCTGATTAGCAGCTCATAAACCCGACTCGCATGGCCAGCTGGCAAGCTGTAGAGTTTGCTCTGTTGCAGAACAGAATGAGAGTTGCTAAGGATTCAGTTTCATACCAAAAAGACATTTCTGTATAATCAAGGAAAACATTGCTGACCAAGTACCTGCAAGATCTCCAGCAGGCCCCGTATAGCAGTCCTGACATCTTCCATAGGAGAGTCAGCTGGTGAGTCTCTCTCAGAAACCTCCAGGGACCCGGAGCAAACCAGAGGACGGTTTGCCACCTGTAAAAAAAAAAAAAAAAAACTTATTCCTGACTGAACTGGATGAAGTCATATGACTTATCTGCTGTCCTGTCTGTATTCACCCGCTCAATGATGTCCAGAAGGCTGGTGAAGTGATGTGTGTTACAACCCTCAGCAAGGTCCACCAGCAGCTGGGTGGCCTGTGTTCTGACAGCTGGATCCCTGTCTTCAGCTATCGCACTGAGCTGAGGAATCACCACCTTCTCAATCAGCTCATCCTGAAAAAAGAAAGGAAATGAAGAACAAGCAGGTGCTTTTTGATGAATCTTAATCAATGTTAGCAACAGGTAATAAAAGATCAAACCTTACCTAAAATCAAAACCAAAATCAAGCCTTTAAAACCAATTCTGTTTTCTAATTTTTATTTAGCTTTAAAATGTAAAACACAGTCCAGACAAAAAGCATCTTTTTCTCATCTGATCACTGACTACAAAAAAGCAGACGTATGAGTGTTCAAACCTCATAGAGCTGCCGATTGGTGCTGAGAACGAAAGAGAGAATATGAAGCACTTTGATCCTGATCCTGCTGCGAGTCTCGTTCCTTCCAGACACAGAGGACACAGTAGAGTTGGGATGCCAGTAATCAAAGAGAGGAAGATAATCGTGAACCAGATCCTAAGAGCAACGTACCTAAAGAATTTCTCCATGAGGCAGTGGAGGCTCTGGATCCAGCCATCCTTTGCAGGCTGAATGGACTGTGCTCGGTATGAGATAAGGGTCAGCACCGACGCGTCCTGTTACACACGAGATTCAAATAAGAACAGAGGCTGTACTCCAGGAGAGGATCGAATACACTGACTGGACAGTGGGAAGGGTACAAACAGGTCTCTTGTCGGCACATTTCTCCACAAGAACGAAGAACTTTTCCGTGGAGCCATGGTAACCATTCTGCTCATACAGCTCTTCTACTGTGGTCAGCAGCTCATACACGATGGTCTTCAGCTCTGGGCTGCCTATCGTCTGAGAACACAAGAAAGAAAAGCAACTTAGCTTCTCAAGACTCTTTGATTTCTGTCTTTCTCCCATGTTCCTAATGTTTGGCTGAACCTGGATCTGCTGCAGCAGTCGCTCGATGATGCCCAGCAGGATGTCCCATGTGACCACCTGCAGCTCTTTGCCGTATTTCTTAATCAGTCTGGTGATAGAGAGGACGATCTCATACGACACCACCTCATTGGCACATGACATGGCCTGAAAGCAGAAGTCAGGCAATCACAATTATTTCAGAACCTGTTTTCATCTCATTTTTAAACCTCAAGTACAGGTGCTGGTCATAAAATTAGAATATCATGAAAAAGTAGATTGATTTCAGTAATTCCATTTAAAAAGTGAAACTTGTATATTATATTCATACATTACATACAAACTCATATATTTCAGATGTTTATTTTGTTTAATTTTGATGATTACAAATGACAACAAATGAAAATCTCAAATTCATCATATCAGAAAATTAGAATATTACTGAAGACCAATAAAAACAAAGGATTTATAGAAATGTTGGCCAACTGAAAAGTATGAACATGAAAAGTATGAGCATGTACAGCACTCAGTATTTAGTTGGGCCTCCTTTGGCCTGTATTACTGCAGCAATGCGGCGTGGCATGGAGTCGATCAGTCTGTGGCACTGCTCAGGTGTTATGATAGCCCAGGTTGCTCTAATAGTGGCTTTTAGCTCTTCTGAATTGTTGGGTCTGGTGTATTGCATCTTCTTCTTCACAATACCCCATAGATTTTCTATGGGGTTAAGGTCAGGAGAGTTTGCTGGCCAATTAAGAACAGGGATACCATGGTCCTTCAACCAGGTACTGGTAGCTTTGGCACTGTGTGCAGGTGCCAAGTCCTGTTGGAAAATGAAATCTGCATCTCCAAAAAGTTGGTCAGCTGCAGGAAGCATGAAGTGCTCTAAAACTTCCTGGTATGTGGCTGCGTTGACCCTGGACCTCAGAAAACACAATGGACCAACACCAGCAGATGACATGGCACCCCAAACCATCACTGACTGTGGAAACTTTACACTGGACTTCAAGCAACGTGGATGAAGTGCCTCTCTTCTTTTCCTCCAGACTCTGGGACCTTGATTTCCAAAGGAAATGCAAAATTTACTTTCATCAGAGAACATGACTTTGGACCACTCACCAGCAGTCCAGTCCTGTTTCTCTTTAGCCCAGGCAAGACGCTTCTGACGCTGTCTGTGGTTCAAGAGTGGCTTGACACAAGGAATGCGACAGCAGAAACCCATGTCTTTCATACGTCTGTGTGTGGTGGTTCTTGAAGCACTCACTCCAGCTGCAGTCCACTCTTTGTGAATCTCCCCCACATTTTTGAAGGGGTTTTGTTTCACAATCCTCTCCAGGGTGCGGTTATCTCTCTTGCTTGTACACTTTTTTCGACCACATCTTTTCCTTCCCTTCGCCTCTCTATTAATGTGCTTGGACACTGAGCTCTGTGAACAGCCAGCCTCTTTAGCGATGACCTTTTGTGTCTTGCCCTCCTTGTGCAAGGTGTCGATGGTCGTCTTTTGGACAACTGTCAAGTCAGCAGTCTTCCCCATGATTGTGTAGCCTATAGAACTAGACTGAAAGACCATTTAAAGGCTTTTGCAGGTGGTTTGAGTTAATTAGCTGATTAGAGTGTGGCACCAGGGGCCATCAATTTTGAACCTTTTCACAATATTCTAATTTTCTGATATGATGAATTTGAGATTTTCATTTGTTGTCATTTGTAATCATCAAAATTAAACAAAATAAACATCTGAAATATATGAGTTTGTATGTAATGTTTGAATATAATATACAAGTTTCACTTTTTAAATGGAATTACTGAAATCAATCTACTTTTTCATGATATTCTAATTTTATGACCAGCACCTGTACATGAGCAACAAGTGATCTAACTCACTCACTCACTCACTGTCACACCTTGACGAGCCTGACGTCTCATAATGTCCTAAAACACTGGCATACGAAGAACGTTCTTTGTATTTTTTTCAATTTTGGGCATAAACATAATGTATTCATAATGAGTCCAGAGCAGGTGTCCAACTACAGCCTAACTTATGCATAACGCACAGTAGTGTTAGCAAGCCGTTATGAAGCATCAGTTAAAACTGTTCCCCTTCACCCGGTCTGCATAAAAAGATGTCTTTGATCGCAGTATTAACCTAGCTGCTGTTTACCGCCCTCCAAAAAAATTATAATTAAAAAGAAAGAAAGAAGTTTTGCAGTCGCAGCTGATTCAGTGTCATGTCTCCTAGGAAGTTTGTTGGTTGTAGCCGTGAGCATGAACGCAGGGAGGATCCATCACACTCACCTTCACGTTCACCCTATGATGGGGATGCAGTCTGGAGGAGAAGTTAATCAGGTTTTGAATAAGCTAGACGTCAAGACTTATGAGTAACTTACTCTTAACGTACACTATATTGCCAAAAGTATTTGCTCACCCATCCAAATTATTGGAATCAGGTGTTCCAATCACTTCCATGGCCACAGGTGTATAAATTCAAGCACCTAGGCATGCAGACTGTTTTTACAAACATTTGTGAAAGAATGGGTCGCTCTCAGGAGCTCAGTGAATTCCAGCGTGGAACTGTGATAGGATGCCACCTGTGCAACAAATCCAGTCGTGAAATTTCCTCGCTCCTAAATATTCCACAGTCAACTGTCAGCTGTATTATAAGAAAATGGAAGTGTTTGGGAACGACAGCAACTCAGCCACGAAGTGGTAGGCCACGTAAACTGACGGAGCGGGGTCAGCGGATGCTGACGCGCATAGTGCGAAGAGGTCGCCAACTTTCTGCAGAGTCAATCACTACAGACCTCCAAACTTCATGTAGCTCAAGAACAGTGCACAGAGAGCTTCATGGAATGGGTTTCCATGGGCGAGCAGCTGCATCCAAGCCATACATCACCAAGTGCAATGCAAAGCGTCGGATGCGGTGGTGTAAAGCACGCCGCCACTGGACTCTAGAGCAGTGGAGACGCGTTCTCTGGAGTGACGAATCGCGCTTCTCCATCTGGCAATCTGATGGACGGGTCTGGGTTTGGCGGTTGCCAGGAGAACGGTACTTGTCTGACTGCATTGTGCCAAGTGTAAAGTTTGGTGGAGGGGGGATTATGGTGTGGGGTTGTTTTTCAGGAGCTGGGCTTGGCCCCTTAGTTCCAGTGAAAGGAACTCTGAATGCTTCAGCATACCAAGACATTTTGGACAATTCCATGCTCCCAACTTTGTGGGAACAGTTTGGAGCTGGCCCCTTCCTCTTCCAACATGACTGTGCACCAGTGCACAAAGCAAGGTCCATAAAGACATGGATGACAGAGTCTGGTGTGGATGAACTTGACTGGCCTGCACAGAGTCCTGACCTCAACCCGATAGAACACCTTTGGGATGAATTAGAGCGGAGACTGAGAGCCAGGCCTTCTCGTCCAACATCAGTGTGCGACCTCACAAATGCGCTTCTGGAAGAATGGTCAAAAATTCCCATAAACACACTCCTAAACCTTGTGGACAGCCTTCCCAGAAGAGTTGAAGCTGTTCTAGCTGCAAAGGGTGGACCGACGTCATATTGAACCCTATGGATTAGGAACGGGATGTCACTTAAGCTCATATGTGAGTCAAGGCAGGTGAGCAAATACTTTTGGCAATATAGTGTATGTCAACGTTCACATAATTTACCTGCAACTTATGCACCACATCGGGAAGTGTTGAGCATAAACAAAATTTCTCAACATACATGTGCCAGCGTGTTTCAGCGTGCTCATAACTTAACTTATCCAAAGTACGCCAGCGTTTTTTGCCAGATTTTTCGTACGTCAGGAATACGCTGGTCCAAATGATTGTGGTGTAACAGGAGCATTAAGAGCGAAGATGAAGTGGTCTTCTACCACCTGCTGGTGCACACCGCATATCAACTTCCTGAAATAAGCCTATTGGGCTGGGTGGTATGGCTAAAATTAAATCTCAGCTTTCATTATACAAAATAGTAGAAATATTTTTTTCATACCTTTAATAAAAATATGAAAAAAAAATTATTTTAAGTCATTTTATCTGACATTTGACCTGAATTCAAAGAACTAAATACAATATGGAAACATGGTTTAAAAAAAAAAAAGATGACATAACCCGAGTCAACTACCATGTAGTCTTCCCTTAGCTCTCGACTGTGCAGATATTTTATATCTAAGGGAAACAGGACAATCCAGGGCATTACAACTTTTTTTCTTTTTTTTATGCTTTTTTGGTACTATATACACTCTTTTTATATTTTCTGTCGTATTTTTATCTTTAATGGCATCTTACTTGAACTCTTTGCACTCTATATAAGCTACTGGAACCAGAATTTCCCTGAAGGAGTAATCCCAATGGATAAATAAAGGTGAGTCCAAATCTAAGTCTAGAAGAATTAGAGTCTGATTCCATTTCAAGCTGGATCTACAAAGCGAGAGGACTAAATCTGTAAATGTGGCTCAGTCTAAGATTTTAATAATGTTAAGCTATTTAGTACCTTGTAGAATGATGGCAGGACAAGTGTCGGTGTGTTTTTCAGAGCAGGGAGTCTGTGAGCGCCCCACAGAGCCATTCCCACAAAGAACACTGCTCCTCTCAGCAGCGGGGCATCTTCCATGTACATCCTGGTGGAGAAGTTACTCTAAAATCACTTGTAAACTAAAATAAGAGCCAATTAACCACAGTATATCTATAAAGATCTTTTTTAATTGTTAAGCTTTAGTTAAAAAACAAAAACAAAAAAAAAACACTGTAAACCTGCCAAGTAATAATACCTCTCTTCCATGATCCGACACATGGTGTAAATGGCGCTGTGGCCAAGATGAGTCCCCAAAACTTTTCTCATAAGCTGGTGAAACACAACCCAGAAGAAATACAAAAGAAAAAAAAATCAGATGGAAAAGTTTTAAATCCTTAAAAAAATACAAAAGAAAAAGAAAACAAATACACATTTATAAACAACTAATCCGCTTCTCACCTTCCAGCAGGATTCACAGAACTCCTTCACATTCACCGTACGGCAAAGAGTTATAATAAAGACAGTGAGGGACTCTGAAGGCAGGCAGTTGTAACAAACCACCGCATCCAAGACCTGAAGCGCCACCTGGACACAAACCCCAACCAAAGCTGTGATCAGCATTATGAACATGAAAAACGGCACAGAAAGATGCCAAATAAAAAAAGCTTTATGCTTAGACTGCATTTCTTTTAAACCCAAAAAGTGTTACGTGTTATATGGATGTAAAATTATTATTTCAATTTTGACCCATCACAACATAACTGACAGAAAAGATGGACAGTATGAAACATCTAATGGTGGACTAAACTCTGTCACACTTAAAATACTTCAGGTACCAAAAAGGATAAAAACTTCAAGAATTAGAAATGGCAAAGAAAGAACTAACAGCATAGGAAGTAAAGACAAAAAAAAAAGTTCTGAAATTAAGTGCCTCCTCTCCTAGTTTTACTTTTTGCTAAACGCTGCTTCTAAGAGATTAGCTGATATACTTCTCGCCTGCACTGTGGAGTAGTGGTTAGCACTGAAGATGCCAAACCTGTAAAATCCCTCTCTTTTGTCTAGTAGAGGGGTCTGCAACCTTTAAAAACTGAAGAGCCATTTTGCTCCAAACCTGGTTCAGTAAAAGTCGGTTAGAGCTGTAAATTTTATATACCCTTTTAAAAAAAACAGTTTATTTTTGTTAAATATCTGCTACATTTTAAGATTTTAAAACAAGAAAAAATATCAAAATATTCATAAAGATGAATTGTGTATTAACTTCTACGGGATATAGGTAGATAAAAAAAAAAAAAAAACATAATTTCCAAGTTAATGAAAAGGAAAAGAGAAACAATTATTTTAACGTAATTCTGCTGTGAAAATAAAATCAAATACTCTTCTTAAAAAAAAATTAAAAATGTGGTATTTGTCATCAGTTGGATCGTTATATTTTTTTAAGCTACTATTAAGGGCCATTGCAGAGGTCCCAGAAAGCCTCAGGTGTCAATTCCCTGGTCCAACAGGATTGCAGCTAAAGAAAAAAAGACAATAATTCCTCCTAAATGGGAAAACGGCACCATCTGCTGTTTGCTCTGTAGCTGTAATCAGTGTTGTTTTGACTTAGTTTTGACTTAAGGCTCATAAAAAAACTTTTATAGTGTTAATGTTTGTAGTGAATAAACCTGTGGCATGGTTAAAAAAAATAGATCACAGAATTCTTTGTAACCTTTAACCAACAGCTACAACAGACAAATTTCCTTTTAACCCATTTTGTTCTGGATGGTGGGGAGCTGATTTTTTTTTTTTTCATTCTTCAAAGGAGGATGCAAAAGAAAACATCTAAGAAGCACTGAATTAAAGGGTTCATAGAATGCAAAACGAGTTTACATTGTCATAGATGAATAACAATAGTTCAGTGGGTGAAATGGATGTACAGAAAAGTTCAAACCCCATCGACCCCTCCTTTCTCTGCAAATCTCACAATTCTAAACTTCCAGCATAAAATGGGCGAATCCAAACGAAGTTCCGAGTTGATGTAAACTCTGGGATGTTGCCTTATTTGGCTCTGGCCTGTACTTTTGTCACGCCTCGAAATTTTCATACAGACCAGGCCACTGGTTCACTGTCCCAAGAACATGAATAGAGGTTGATGTAAGACACCAGTTTAGCCGTTTAGCCTACAGTTGGGTTTACTTCTACAAGAATTACAAAGCAGTTTCTCTATTGAAAATGGGCCAGAACCACGGGTGTAAATGAAGTCCTCAGGCTGCACGGAGGAAGGAGAAAATTCTCACAGTCTTCCAAAGGATCCAAAGACTCGACAGGCAAGGATTAATTTAGTCTATCAGAAGATCCCTGCAAAGTTTGATGCTTAGCTGTTCATTTGCTCTACGCATTTTACCTAAGACAGCTTTCAAAATCTTGGACAGATCAAAACAGACAGCTCAGTTCAAATGCCTGGTGTGTTTCAACTACGCGCTGCACTGAAGTTGACCAAAATCACGGACGATTTCGAAATTCGGACATTTTTTTTTTGTATGAAAAGTAGGACATGTCCGGGAAAAAGAGGACGTCTAGTCACCCTACCATATCAACAATTTGATGTTTCTGTGAGTGAGTGCTTGTTGCTATCAATAGCCTTTGCTAAGCAGCTTCGCTTATTGTAAATCAACCACTCAGTGCACAAATATTCATGAGCATACCATAAAAGGAAGAAAACCTGTCATCTCATTCTAGGGCTTTTAATCAGGCTTGTGTCAGGGCTTATACAACAGCAAATATGCCATTTTCAGCCCAACATATTTTACACACCCTATTCAGAGACCTTAAGGACCAGCACCAAATACCCTATAGAATCATTCTATCACCCCTTTAATGGGTCTCTCTAAATCGTCCTCGGGTATGTGATAGGCTGGCAACTTGTCCAGACTGGGACGGCTAGAGATTAGCATATGGTGGAGATTAATGCATAATTGTTGCTACACCGAGAAGTTTATACCATTCTGCAGTTCAACAAGTCTGCACCTGTTATTAGAACCTGCGTTGCTGATGGATGAAATTTAAAACTATATCTTGCCAAAATGTAAATGAATGCCCACAACCTTGCATTATACTGGTATAACTAGCAGTGAGCATTCTCAATTTTTACCATTTTATTGTCATAGATTTATTAGTTTTTTTTATACATTTAATTTTTTTAGTTAAGCTTCTCTATAAAAACAAATTGCCAAAGGAAAATCAATTTCCTTTCTTTACTTAAAAAAAAAAAATACTGCATTACCAAGACTAGTATATCTACAGAGGGAACGGGTCCATAGAAGATGCCACTGCCCTTCACAGCACTCTAGGCCACATTGAAAAGCATACATCAGGAAGCTGTTTGTTGATTCAAATCAGGACTGAACACTATCAGCCCCAGCTGAATGATCAAACTGCAGAAACTACAACATGGAAAGTCTCTCAGTCTGGACCCCAAAGATCCAGGACAACCCAGCCCACCCAGGACCTTCTATTTTGACCAGCAGACTCAGAGTCATGTGATCGTACACCAAAAAGCTTTAACATTGTTTTTTTCCCCCCCCTATTACTGTGTAAAAAAGAGACAGGGTCTGGCATACACACTGAGATCCTGCAGAATTCTATTTTTGGACTAATATTAAGAAGGACATTAACACTGATAAAGAAGAGGGGCCAAGGGGTCTGGATTCACAAAGTTCATGCTGCTTGCTTTAAGGCTCCGACTAAGTAATGCATTAAGCTGGATCAAGCACACAGGATTACTGGCTGTGAAGGCATGTACCTAAGTGAGATACTTTTATAACCAAACATCGGGTTAAAATGAAAACCTTTACCATTAAAAAAATATATATATAAAATTTCAAATGCAGTTGCCACATTTAAACCCTAAGATGGAAACACTAACACAGATGTAGGGTAAATATTGTTGAACTAAACAAGTGCACATGATAATAAAAAAACAAAGTTTTGAAAATGAAAAGTAACATTAAAGTAGCCCCACAAAGGCAAATTTTAAACAGTTTACCACAGTTTTATCACTCAGCTAACTTCATGTTTCAAATTGGGAAGGCCAGCTATGAACCAGACAGAAACGAAGGCGTGTGGGTGGAAATCATCATAAGTCTGGAATGATGACAGAAACCAACCTCTATATCTGTGGATGATGTTGTTCGGTTGCACAGAAAACAGATTTTCCTGCAGAGAGCACAAAAGGTTAACATGGTTGTTTGAATTTAAAACACCAACTGGATAGCAATGAAAACTTATAAACAGATTGAAACAAAAAGATCTCACAAAATAAAAATTCAAACTGAAGCCCAACCAACACTGATTGGGTTGTTCCTTAGACTTACTGGACCATGACGGAGACGTTCTGATCCAGGTAGCAGCTGTTGTACTTTACTAGATTCACAAGGACATGGAGGAAATCTGTGGTAAGACCAATGTCCATCCACAGGAGGACAAACCGGGCTGAAAAAGAGATCAATGATTGTTAAGAGATTGGAAAAAGGAGCAGTAATGCAGTTAATTATTAGGACCACTATAATGAGAAGATGTAATACAATCAACTATTAACTATTAAAAATGATCTGATACAGTCTCAGTCTCTTCCTCGAAAAACCATGTTAACACAGTGAAGGGGTTGTAATGCTCAGATGATCTCAGGTACTATTTTGTTATGGCTTAAATGCCCCTGGTAGGGTCTCTCTAGGCCAGTGGTTCTCAAACTTTTTCTGTGATTCCCCACTTTGGACAAGGGGGAATTTTCAAGCCCCGCCTGTCCCCATCGCCCCAACACAATGCTAATGAAATATGCAACAATCTTAAAATGTTCCAATTTTACTGAAGTAACAAGTAGTATCTAAATACAAACTATCTACATCAAATAACAGCAAGCTAAAAAATAAAGAAAATAAAAATGCAGCTGTGTCAAAATTTGTATCAAGCTCAAAGATAGAAAAAATTAAAGTGGCACTCTGCAATCTGTTAATAAAAGAAAAGAAGTGAAATCCATCTGGCAAGACAGTTCTATTTATCCCTGCATTAGTGGCTGCAATGAGCCTGTTTTGCATTGCACAGTTTCTCAAAACGGGGTTGCAGGCTTGATACTGCCACTCTCAAGTCATGCTCAATGTTCAGCTGAGATCTGTATTTTGTTTTCATTGAAGCAGCAGCTGAAAAGCCCATCTCACAAAGATATGATGTGGCAAAGGGAAGAAGAATGCACACAGCTCTCTGCCCGATGAGTGGATACTCCCTCTCCACTCCTAACCAGAATTCACTATTAGTCTGAGCATTAAACCTGAGCTTCAGGGTGGAGTCAGACGTCATTTCAATAAACTGGTCCTCCTCAGCAGACCTAAAATCAGCAGGTGCTGCAGACAGAATAGGAAAAAATAGACTTACTTTATTTTTCATTGCATAATAAACTAATAAAATATTTCAAATTCAGTTATTTATGATCAACCTGCGCCGTCAATCCCGGCGCATGTGCGCTTTATTTGCAGTCTGGACGCTAAAGTTAAACATGCTGTGTCTCTGCTCTGACTGCAGCGCTGAGAGGGACTCCTGCGATAGCGGGGGAGAACGGGGTTGGGACGGAGGAGGCGCCCCACGGCAGCACCTGCCGCTGGAGGACAAGAAAAGGAACGATACGTGCTTTCACGTAAGAGTCTCCAAAAGTCGCTAGATTTGTCGCTAGTCGCTTTTTTGAAAAAGAGTCGCTGGAGGGGTCTGAAATATAGCGACAAAGTCGCTGAGTTGGCAACACTGGGGCGCGAAAGTTTATTCCGTTACAAATAATATGCCGACGTCACGTCAATATTTATTTTGGCACTTCAGTTCCAGGTGAAATGTTTCTCATATCTAATGTTCTTTTAATTAGACTGCATGTAGGCTAGTAATGATTACTTTGTGGGTTTGATTGGTCTAAAAAGCGGCAACATACAGCTATAAGGACAGTTTGCTCTCACACGTTCTACATTTATAGTCACACACACACACACACACACACCGGCACTTGGCGCGCCCCACCTGTCACGTCTCAATTCCCCACCAGTGGGTCGCGCCACACACTTTGAGAACCGCGGCTCTAGGCAAACAGGCTCTGGGTGACGGGTCAGACAAAGGGGAGTTCAAAAGCCATCATAACAACAAAAACAGAGAAGTTTGCAACCTGTCTTTTACATTCGCTAGGGCAGGGTTGTGCATGAACTCGTTCAATGAACAGCATTCACCGAATATGTTCATAATTTTAGTGAACCGTGAAAAGTTTTGAAATAATGAACGTAAACAAGACCGACTTTCACACTAAGAATAATGACAAACACAGCTCACGTTCGGTTGATAACGGCACTTTTCATTGGATATCGTCAGGTTTTATGGCACCTATTACAGCAAACAGCGTGACAGAAGAACGTGTCTACCGCTAGTACTAGTCTGCGCAATTCAGACTCATCTTCTGCTATTTCTGATGCCAGTTTTGCAGAGCGTTTGGCAGAGTTTTATGAAGTAACAAAGAGTCCATACGTTGGCCATGTCTACTTCAAATTTAAAGGGACATCTTAAATTAAAGCATCTGAGCTATTTGGGGAAATACTGTATCTACTTCTGAATGAGGAACGTAAGAAATCATTTTTGATAAAGATCTTTTCAGCAGAACCTGAAAATACCTGTGTTTCTTAAGTTCTGTGCAGTTTGGAAAGGGTGAAATATGAGGTTCTATTTAGGCTTGTCCCGATCCGATACGTGGATCGGATCGGGACGCCGATATTGGCAAAAAAATGCGTATCGGCAAAGCATGTAAAATGCCGATCCAGACTGCCGATCCAGTTTTTAAAAAAAAATCTGGTCCGTATTTTCCAGTTTCGCCGATTGAAACGATCCATTCGACTATTTTGCGCCAGTGTTCCCCTGTTTTGCATTTTTATTAAAACTTACAGTAATACTTGCACCTTTAACTGTTTACGGTTTTACTGCGCACTGTGCAATATTAGATTGCTATTCATAATTTTGTCCAGTTTGTGTTTATCTCTTAATAAACAGGTAAGTTTGTTGTTACCAATCATTTTGTTTTATTCAATCTCACCTAATTTAGCTGGCTAGATGTTATCAAGAGTACTAAAACCCTTTTCAACATGAGTCTTACAACTAAGGCTAAATACTTTAACTTAAACTTAAATACATGCTCGGATAGGCTGGTATCGGCCAGTATCGGTATCGGATCGGAAGTCCAAAAACAATATCGGTATCGGATCGGAAGTGCAAAAACCTGGATCGGGACATCTCTAGTTCTATTGTGTAGGATTGTGGCCTAATCTACAAAATTAACTAGTTCATTTATAGGTTTGTGAACTTAGATCATTTTTGAAAAAGTGAACTATGAACATGAACTATTTTAATTATGAACTGGCACAATATTGTGGCTGGGACCTCACCCTGGAGCCAAACCTGCAGTTATTGTTCATTGGTATGCATCTGGGGCTTGGGTTATATCTAGCCTGGTAGGGCTGTGAGGCTACTTAGGCAGCTAGAACGTAAACTAAGGCCAAGCAGTGCTGATGCAAAAACTCATTTGGCCTCAAAATGTTTCAGGGAAATCATTCATCTCCTCCGAAAAATGGGATGAAGAGCTTTGCTTAGACTGAATACAGTGGGAGAGAGGAAGCTACCAACCAGGGCTTAGGACACTGTCAAACACTGGACAGAATACTGTGACGACTGTCTAAACTGGGCTTTCATGCCTTTCCTGGTGGGAGCATAAACTAGGTGCTCAGAGTCAGATTTGCTCATCACTCGGGCTAAAGTCAAAGAGGTCTTCAGCATTGCTTGGCGATTGGAGACAGTGCCCCTGAACTGGCAGACAGGGGTTGTAGAACCCCTTCACCAGGAGGGATTTCATTTTCCACTCTCCCAAGGAAGGTCTATCCCAGGATGCTAGGGAGTAAGAGTCCAGCTGATTGTCGAACTTTGGCTTCAAGATGAACAATGTGGCTTCTCATCACAGCCTTGGAACAATGGACAAGGTCTACACCTGGAGGAATTCAAACATGTCTATTGTGGTCCCCCTTGGGTGGTACTACTGAAGTATGCAGTCATAGGCCCTTTAGTATGGGCCATCAAGTATCTGTGCAAGAGGAGTTTGGTCCGCATTGCTGATAGTAAGTTGCATCAGTTCTCAGTGCATGTTGGACCCTGGCACGGCTGCAACTGATCCTATTCATAACTTTCATGAACAGTATTTCTAGAAGCCGCCAGGGGGGTCATTTCTGGGTACCAGAGGATTTTGTTTCTATTTGCGGATGACATGTTCTGCTGGTTACCTCCAAACCAGACCTACAAAACCCTGAGGCGAATTATAGCTGAGAGAAGAGCAACCAGGATAAACATTTACTCCTTCTACAGCCAAAGACACGCTGGAGGGAGTAAGTCTCTCAGCTGGCCCTGGAACACCATGGGCTTCCACAAGAGGAGGTGGTGGAGGTGTCTGGGGAAGTCTAGGGGTCTATGATGAGACTGCTGACCTTGCAACCCAGTCCAGAATAAAGTGGAATACAACAAGTATACTTCACTAGCAGAGGTAACATTTCTATTTTAGAAATGAACACTCTCATTGATCCACATAAAATGATATACCAAATTTAAGAAACCTGTCTAATAGCAATTTTAAACTTTAACTGAGATGGTTTAGTTCAGCTTATTAGCTGTAATAAAGCTATTGTTTTATTTCATCAACTCCAAGCTTCCTCCTGTAGATTCTCTTTTACCAAGCCATCATCTTTTCTATTGTACAACATAAAAACATGACAGTGAAGCCTAAAAGAAAGTTTAATCGTGTATCTTTTTACCAATGTCTTCCTCCAGGTATGTGATGTCCTTTCCATTTTCCGTTAAAGCCTTGAACACTTCCAATCTCTCTGAGAGGTCCTCATTGCAAGGTTGGTAGTCTCTGACCACCTTAAAAAAGTAGGCCCTAAGAGGACCAAGCCATTCTCCCTTCAGAAAGAAAAAATAAACACTGTAACTGAGTGAAGATAATGTCAAATTTAACAAATTAACTTAAATTCGAGTTGGAAAAAAACTTATTTCCTGGATGGGTGATGCCATTATTCTTCAGGCACTATGTGCTGGGGTTGTAATTCTGTTTGTTTTAGGAGTTTGTTTGGATTTGAGCCATGAAAAAAAAAAAAAAAATCCTATTGTGCTCCGAAATCCTAAAAAAACCCCATTAAACATCAAAACACTTAAACAATTGATTTGACCTTAAATACCCTTAATGTATTTTCCTCTCACTGAACAAGGTAAATCAAATGAAGGTCTACCTGTCCTTGGATGATGGACTTGAGTAGGTGAAGGACAGCATGCCTGGCCTCTGGTGGCTGCTCGGGTGACAGCATGTCCTCCACAGCTTTCCAAACAGCCTCCACTGCATTCTGATTCACATGGAGTTACAGGTTTAATGATTATGAAAGATGTTCACTTTGCCGCAAAAATAAAATTTATAAAAAACAGAGACAATTACCTCTTCAAATTTTTTTATTTTTGCCAGCTCACATATCTGGTTCATCACCCTGATGCGGTTGCTGAGGCCACAATCAGGGTGGAGTTCCTGCAAAACATGAAGAAAACAAAAAGGTGTTAGGCCCAGTTCTACTTCAGAGGGCTGGTTCACAAAGCAGGTTCAGCAAACTCAGTCTCAAACTCTAAATGGATCCAGTCTTAGGGTTAGAAAGTTTGAGTTTTCAGTTTCACACCAGATGCTCCGAGTTACTTTAATCAACTGAGTAGTTTCACTCAGAGTTGCGCTCCTGCCATGAAAAGCCATCATCAGTGGAGCCGCAATTCAATGAGTCACCATGACAAATTATGACCATTAACAATAAGAATATGAAGATCTGAAATTCATTTTTAGACTTGTAGTGGGAAAAAAAAAGCATTCAATTCAATTAAATAAATTGAGATCGATGGATTTCACTCAGTCAGCACTTTATTTTCATATCTTTGCAAAGAGAGAATAGTTCATCATACAGCCCTTACTGCTCTGTATTCAGCCCCCTTCTGCCTGGGCAGCGTGTTTTCCCTCTTCAGAGTCAAAACAAATTACAGACACTTTGATTAACAGAAACAGGTTATGAATAAACCTTGAGAAAGAACCTCTTCTTTTTTTAACTTTGTATTGTCCACCAGGTCCTTACTCTGATTTTTTTAGAGTTTTCAGAGTTCCTATCTGATTTAGTGTTAAATACTGACAGGGTCACAATAGTGGAGGATGTTAACATCCATGCTGACATTGAAGATGATATCTTAAATGCCGCCTTTGATGCCATCTTAGACTCATTTGTCTTTGCTCAAAATGTGAGTAGTCTGACACATTCTCATCATACTATGGACCTTGTGCTGACATTTTGCATTGAATGTGAAGAAATAGCAGTATTTCCTCACAACCCTGTCCTCTCTGACCACTTTTCAGTAACCTCCAAAATTACTTTTGACTTGTAACTTTCTGCTGCTGAATGCAGAAAAAACAGAAGTTATAGTTTTTGGACCAGAGTTTTTGAAAAATAAGCTGGTTAGTCAGTCACTTCAATTGGTTGGGATTAAATTACCTGATTTCAGGTATAAAAAAACTCATGTTTTTAGTTAACATGCTTTGTGAAATGGGCCTCAGACCAAAAACCTATTTTTAGTGTGATAATACCTTCTAATAATCAAAAATAAGCTGATTCATGCTATCCATTTTTAAAGCTTTGAGCAATTAGAGAAATCAAATAATTTGTTTAGTAGTCAAGAAAAGGTACTTAGTTAAAAATAAATAAATACTACTTTTTTCTATCAATTTTGCTGAAACCATTAAGCAATCTTTTTTAATTACACAGAAAACAGGTCTCATTTTCCAAAACAGCTTCAGAATATTAAGTTTGGTTGGTGGACTTTCTATTAAAGCAGAGTTATTGTTTTTGAAGCAACAAAGGCTTAAATTAAGAATAAATAGCAGCTGGAATCAGCATCAGAGCAGAAAAATGTAAAGCAATACAATTTCACTCACCTTTATGATGTCAGCTGTAATAATGAATTCAGGCAGCTTGGAATCATTTTGTTTCGTTTGCTGGCGAGGTGTCCCCAGCCCAAAGATCCCCTTGACCTTTTCTTTTAGTGTCTCTTTGCTCTGTTGTTTATTCATCCTAAAAGAAGCTTATCTGCTGTTGATGCCTGCAACAGAACACAAGACATTATTTCACCGCCTTTTATAAGTTTTGCACACCGACTTGGTTGGTTCTATAACAGATTTAGCTTTAGTAGCTTTTTGCATTGCGTTTTATTAAGAGTGGATGCTAATATGCCTAAATAATTGCACTGTATAACCCTTATAAACACTTTATACACTACAAAAGGGCTGAGCAAATAAATCAAGGATTTAAATCAATGAACCTCCTCGGGATGTCTTGCTTTAGTCTTCTAGCTCCTGTTTTTCACATTGTTCTCTAAAAAAAAAACCTCTGAAGCCTCCATAGAACAACTGGGTTTACACTGACATTACTTACTTACAGATTAACTCATGTTATTAACTAGCAGACTTCTTCTGGCATTTATTTAAGGGTATATGAATTTTCTCTTTTTGTCCAGTGATGTATTAATTGTGGGAAGTCTTCAGGGTGTAAAAGTGAGGGAATTTGAAAGAGTTCAAGGGGCTGGGTGGTAGGGCTGTGTGGGGAAAAAAAATAATTTTGCCGATATATTGTGATTTTTGGCTCCCGATGTGATATTGATCTGTCACCACCACCCTGGCAAATAGCGCTGTGGAGCCCTTGAGGTGCAGCACAGCACTATGTCTGTAGTTGAGGCGGTCACAGTAAAAGACATGGGCTCTGTTCTAATTCATGGGCTGCGTCTTCCGAAGGCCAGATTCGAAGGCCGATTATGTCATAGCGAGCCGAGGTCTGGTCGGATTCCAAGACTCCCAGTTATGCGGCCTTAAAATACGTCCGTCATTTTGCCCAATTGAACGACGGGTCCGGTGTATCCTCTCTATCCTTGATTTTCCCAGGATTCATTGCAAGACCAAGCAAGCCGGCTGCTCCATGATCAGAAGAAATGGTACTTGGTTCCGTACAGTGGTAAATATTGGATGTTCAGTTTAATATAATACAAGTATGAATAGTTCAGTTAGTAGTTCCGCCTGAAATGAATGAAAATAGTTGTTTTAATGGTTAATGAGGCAGATATGTGGCGGTAATGTTTGGTTTATCTAAAGGTTTTTATCTGTTACTGTGGAAATGGGTTTGGCTGTAATTTCAGGACAGATTCTAATAGATCTGCAGAGTGGGGACTAAAAATCTAATAGGATTTTTATTGCTATTTTGCACAATTTGCTTAACTAAGTATTTTTGTTGTTTAATATAGGAGATTTTGCATATATATTTTTTTATACATACATTGTTTAGATTTACTTATATCTTTCTACCCCTTTTATAGAATCCTTTTATTGTCCCACAATGGGGAAATTTATGGCCGCAAAAAGATTTTGGAAAAAAATTTTCACACAAATGTGGACCTTAGAAAAATGCATAAGAATAACATAATAGCGAAGAGTTATAAGATAGACAATATAATACTGTACTGTGAAGTGTTTTAACAATATAAAATTGTGCACCCGGAGAATAAAATAAGCAATATCCAGCTATGGACAGTTTTACAGTAATGGATATTTGAAAATAGCAGCAACATCAGAGACGTTCAAAATGACAGCAGCATGTTGTTTAACTGACTAAGGTTTATATAATTACATTTGATTTTATTTGTTTATGCTACAGGTGGTTGTCACCTTTGTTTCACTCTATTCTATTAAGTCTTTGTTCACTTTACAATAAAAAAATAAACAGTTTTGAAAAGTTCGGTATTTATTCTTTTACGGCTTTGTGTGTCAACTATCACGGTTGCTAAGCGACAGGGATTAGCAATGGCTAATGGCTGTAATATCCACCGAAGGCTGGACCTGTGTGAATTCACAGCCAAGACTCTTCCAGTCTCCTTCTTTTCAAGGACTTTGAAGGATCCAGTCCAGGTAGACCACGAAGACACAGCCCATAAATTCGAACACAGCCATGGATTGACGAAAACCCCAAACAACATGGACACCAAAATAACTAAACGACCAATATCATCTGATGAAAATATAGAGCACTTTTTTTATCTACATATGTAATTTTGATAGCTGCGTAAAACATCACAATATATAGTGATATTACAATATTGTGATTAGGGTTGGAAATAATAACCTGACTCCGCCAGATGGATTTGCTCAGCATATCCATCTGGAAACCTTCCGTTGAAGTAATTTTGGGAAGGGGCGAAAATACTGGTTAGCTGATTGGCCTATGTTGGTGATAGACGCGCCAAATAAACCAATCAGATCAACGAAGCATATGACGTAACAGAGTGACGACGAAGAGGAGCCAATTGATAGATCAAACTCTTGCCGAAACCAGTCGGGAGAAGAGCAAAAACATCTTTTCCTCTGAGAAAAGCCTCCAGAGCAGTGTTTTTCTCTTCTTTCAGTGAAGAAATACTCTGTAATTCCCATAAAACTTGCTCGATAGCCACGCTAACGCTAGGTTCACCGGCTGAAGCCGCCATGTTCTTTAGACTGAACTGTCGCGCTTCTCGTTGCGTCACACCTCAACCCCCCTCAAAGCCAACGCTGATTGGACGTTCGTTTGGTGAACAGCTCCAAATTTTCTTCAACGGAGAGTCTCCAGACTGATTAGCGAGTGAAATCTTGAAAGCTCGCGAGATCAGGACGGTCTCACGAGGCTATGGAAATAATGCTTATTTAGCAAATCGATTATTCTGTCGATAATTTTTTCAATCAATAATCGGATAGCAGTAGACTTTTTACAAAACAAACTTTTCGACTTGAGTTCTGGATAGAGCATATTAATAGACAAAAAAAAAGCTAAACTTAATTGCTAAATTTTTACATTTTTTTTTTTTTTAAATTTTGGTCTAATTGCTGCTTTAAGTGGGTCAGCTTAATGAATACATTAAAGTGTCTATATTCCATTTAAAGATTAATCGATTACTAAATTAAATTATTATTTCAATAATCGATTAATCACGATTAATTGTTTCAGCCCTAATCATGATAATATGGTATCATGGCCCAAGTATCGTATCACAACAGCCCTGCCAATACTCAGCCCTACTCATACAGTAAGATTAGTGAGAGCATTGCAACAACCAGGATCTGTTTCACCATGTGCAGCTACATACATTCATCAGCAGATGGGAACATTCTTTAGTGAGGCTTCTGCAAAACACATGATTTATTGTTGTGCAGCCGTGAAGCTGAGCGGCCTGTAAATGTGTAAACCAGGGGGCTGGTTTTAGGACTGTCATGTGGGACCTGACAGAGCAGAGGGGAGGGAGGGAGCAGTGGGACAACGGCTGTTCTGTTTCACTCCGACAACAACAACATCTGTGCCAGGTGTCCTCTGGCCACAGGACAGCATGACTGGAAGGACCTAGTAAACAATGCGCCATCCAAAGAAAACGCACAATAACGCTGAAGCCCCAGCTACGCTTTGTATCGCCTCATACAGGCTAAGATTGAAGATTTATGGACCTGAATCAGATAGCTTCCCCTCTCGCTCACCCTTTTTTCTTCACTCTCACCTTACCGAAGTGCTGTCGCTTTCTCCTTCATTTATTCAAAGCTTCGTCCTTTTAGAGCAAACCAGGCCGTGTGCTGCTGCTGCTGCAGCTGCTGCTGTGCATTTAACTGTTTATTAGTGACCGAAAGCTGCGTTCAGTCCTCCTCTACCCAACCGGATGCCACACGAACCCTCTGACGACGTGTTCCTGTGACGCGGGCTTACCGCGCTCCTTCATGGGAAACGGAGTTCTTCGAGACGCTAAAGTCCTTTTTCGCTAGTTGTCTAGTTTTATTTGGCAGTAAAACATGTTTTCCGAACGGCAAGCAACGGTTCTAGCACTCCAAGCTACAGTCAAATCATTCACCTATTAAACGTTTTTTGGTTGTTTTTATTAGTATTTTTACGTTATGCTATTGCTGGTATTAGCCTAACAGCTAACGAAACAAACTGACGCTTCTAAAGTTGGCTTCTTATTGATAGGCTCGTTTAAGATTTTATGGCAAGCTCTTAGTGTATTTACTCGATTACGATTTCGTTTTGTGTGTGGAAAAATAGCCATAGCAAGATCTGGAATTACCACAGGTATTACCACATTTTAGAATTACGGAAGAGGATTAGGGCCACTGAAAAAAAAGTAAACTGATTTTTAAATTTTATTTCAGTTTAATATGAACTCTGAGTTTAATCTCAGAATTCCGACTTTTCTCAGAATTCTGACTTTTTTCTCAGAATTCTCAGTTCTCAGTTAACTTTTTTTTTCCAGTGGCCCTAATCCTCTTCCGTATATAAAGGCTGTCTTTATTAAAATACATTTAAATGAACTTGTGGGTTACTAAAGCTATGTTATATTGTAATCCAGTAAGTTTTGCTTTAATTAAAGCATGAAAAACCGATCATAAGTTACTGGTTTTTAGATAACAGAGACAGCGTGAAACAGACTACGATCCTGAAACTAACTTCATTGCCTGCTATATGTAATGTCCGCTGTGGTGCCTGGCTGTTATGTAGTCCAGAACTATAAAATGAGTTCTCCGTATTTTATGCAACGCAGCTCTGTCCTCACCCGGAGTAGCAGTACTGGAAGAGTAGCTGCGGCCTCTTTAAGTTCCAAACTCACCAGCACACAGAGAGATGCGGACACCAGTTCTGCAGTGAAGGTGGAGGCGGAGGAGGCGACAGTGTCCAAACTCGAGTCATCCACCGGTATGTTCACGCTGGGTTCACCAAATACAAAGATTTTTTATTAAAGCTGAGGAAACTTTAGTTTGCATATAGTAATTTGCGCATGCGTAAATAATTTCTATTTGTTTTGATTTAATTGTCTCTGGCATCACTGGGACTGTGGATGCCATGCAGAGATGTAGGCTACTGATGACTGGACATGTAAACAAAGCAGCTTTTTACAAAAACATTGATAGGGAACCAGCTTGGTTTAAAAAAAAATAGTACTTTTACATATTTGCAAGATTACCCTTGATTAATTTCCACAGATCTGTCCAGTTAATTGTCTGCCTTCTGTAGAAAAGCATCATTATACTGCCACCACCATGCTTACTGATGGGATTGATGTGTTTAGGTTGATGTGGGGTGTTATTTTTCCACCTGAGCTGTGGATCTGTGGTGCTCCTCCAGATCGACCGCAGATCTCCCAGCGGCTTCCATGAATAATGCTTGCCCCACTTATCAATTTATATTGAGCTATTTAATGTTTTACACACAATTTTTATTTTAGGATAACGTATCAAGCAGAGCTCTGGCATATGTTCAAAGCTTTGGATATTGTTTTATAACCTAATCCCCACCATCGCTGGTCTTTATGAGCAAGAGCAGAAAAATTGATAGTTTATTAGAATATAAAGAGAAATCCATTGTTATTTTAAATATATCAGGTCCTATTGAATTCAAAATTGTAAACGGGATACTTTAAATTAATAAATAACTGGGCTTAAATAACAGCCCTTTCTGTCTACTTGTTATTTATGTCCCTCTATGTCACAAGGCAAGTCTGCTAGTCAGGAGGAGATCACCTGCTTTTCAAGGTTCCTTATTTTTGTGGCCATCATTCCTTACAAACAGCTGGCATGATATAAAAAATGAAAGTGTTGATTGATCACCAATTATTCTGCTATTGCCAAGTTTACCTAATATATTTACGTTAAACGGATTATACTTGGATCAAGTCATTTTGACTTGATCCAAGTATAATCCAAATATATGATTATACTTGGATCAAGTGAATAGGATTCTATAAATCATTATCTGGGCTTTATTGAAATCTCTTTTAAACAGATGTATTGAAGAGCCAAAAACACTTTACAGATTAAAGCTACCTGCTTGTTCTTATGTTTATAGCACTAAGTCCCTTATAAAGATATTTACACATCTTTTTTTAACAAAATATTGTGTTTTCTCCAATTAGGTGAACAGCAGACAGAAGCTTCGTCACAGCCTCCACACAGTCGCAGGAGAAGGCAGGTTAAGGTGGAATATGACAGAGATGATGGTATTTCCCAGGTAAAGGTGGAGCACTGGGAGCCTCTGGATTGGATGAAACAGTTGGGTTTCATCCGGGAGATGAGGAGCGGTCGCGATGCTCCTGTGGATAACATGGGAGCAGAGAAATGCTATGACGCAGAAGCCCCTCCACAGGTAAGCGTGGCCTGTGTTGTTTTTTGTTTCAATTGTATGAAACTCAGTATCAGTGCAGTTAAATACTCCTTCACAGGTGAGACGCTTCCAGGTGTTGGTGTCGCTCATGCTGTCCAGCCAGACAAAGGACCAGGTAACGGGAGCAGCTATGCAGAGGCTCCGAGCACATGGCTGCACTGCAGAGAACATCGTCGCCACTGATGATAAAAAACTGGGAGAACTCATCTATCCTGTGGGCTTCTGGAGGGTAACACCCCATCATTCTCCAGCCTGTTTCATTTCTCCCCTTTGCAATAAAAGTTATGAATTAAACAGAACCACCTTCTTTATAGAATAAGGTGAAATTTCTGAAGCAGACGTCAGCCATGCTGATGACTGAGTTTGGGGGAGATATCCCAAACAGCGTGGAAGGGCTGGTTCGCCTGCCGGGGGTCGGACCTAAGATGGCTCACCTGGCCATGGACATTGCCTGGAACCAAGTGTCTGGAATAGGTGTGTATTTATATTTGAGGCGTTCACAGTTGTGTACAAATCTAGCTGGATAAAACAAATGAAGGCCAGTTTTCCAACTTTAGGCCTGTATGTAAAAAAAAAAGTTTTAGATTAAATTTTTAATGCCAGACTTAAAGCTTCAGTGTGTAATAATTACAGGGATTTACTAACATATATATATATATAATATATTATACAGGTATGTTATTTCTTAGCATCTATGAAATGAACGTTTCAGTTTCTATGTTTGCTTTGCCTTTAAGATTGCTATTTATAATTATAAAGGAGACATTTATGGAGGCAGACATCTTTGCGCTACGGCAACACTGATGTGACAAACTATTGACTGTATAGATCGCTGTGATGCTTTAATGTGACTGGGGCAAGTTATACAGATATAAAATCTATATCCTACATAGATTAATAATAAAATAATAATAATTAAATACTATTTAGAAAATTATCTATGTAAACAAACCTCTTCGTCACTTGATAATATACACGATTCACACTTTGTAGAAGCTGTATAAATTCTTCTTCAAGGAGCCTTTTGTTGTCCGATGCCCGTAGACATTAATATTAATCTAAAAAATATTTGAAAGGTCAGTTTTAGCCTTACTGGAAGCAAAGTAAGGAATAGCTGCTGGAATATTTATAGATATTAAAAAGAATTATTATTTATTGCAACAACAAAAACAAAAAAAGTTGGAACATTACGTGATCTGGGTTGTATTTCAGTAGGTTAGAATGTTATTAAGGCAGCAGGATGTGAACCTGGGGAATGTGTGTTTACAGTAGGATATTGCCCTGCGATAGAAGGGTCCATGGTTCAAGCTCCTTTCAGTGTCATTGTGTCCTTGGGCAGGACACTTTGCCTGCGTTGCCTCCTGGTGGTGGTCAGAGGGACAGGTGGTGTCGGTGTACAGCAGCCCCGCTTCTATCAGTGAGCCCCAGGGCAGCTGTGGCTACAGTGTAGTTTGCCACCATCAGTGTATGAATGGGTGAAGGATTGAATGTTGCGTAAAGCGCTTTGGTCAAGCCTCCTGACTTGGAAAAAGTGCTATATAAGTACAGGCCATTTACCATTCACATTGCTTACTTTGGTCTTTTTTTGGCTCCAAAATGCTTCTCAATGTGTGGAAATAAGATATGTGAAATGTCTTAAGTTATGAAATTTCTAATATTTAGCGGACATTTTCTGTGTTGGGCATATGCTTAAAAAGCTTATAAAGTTTTCACGGAAGAAGTGAACAAACCAAAAGAGAAGAAGAGGTTTGATAGAGAGCAAAAAACCCACATAAACATAATTTTTAATGTTATGTGGGAAGTGTGAAAGGGACAAGGAACTGAAAATACAGATAAAGTCAAATGTCAAAATAGTACACAAATTCAAAGTTCTTGGTGTTATACTAAAGAAATAGTGACAGAGCCGTGACAGTTTCGTCTGGGTGACCAGTTGGTGATCAATTTACATTGGAAACTGATAGGCACCAAATTAGCTAGGGATAAATCTACTGTAATGGCACTTTACTAATAGAAAATGAGCACAACATCTATATGTTCCAAATAAATCTGGTCTTAAGACAGATTAGATCTTCATGAAGCATGTGCTAATATAGCTACAAAAACATTTATCCATCTCTGCTGTCTAAGTTAATCATTTATGATTCTGCACAATATACACAGTTAATGGGTTGAGCAGGGGTTCTTTTTCTCTGATTACATAGAAGACTCATAGATGTCTGCAGAACTCAGAACTTTATCTTCTCTGTGAAATAAAAAAGTTCTAGTTCTGAAAAAGAATCAGAATTGTGTGTTTGACACCTTTAGTGTGCATATTTAATTACTGTATTTTGGTTGTCAGTTTATGCTTAATATACTACCTCTGTTTCAAAGAGGAGCTGCTTGATTCAGAGGTGATGAACTATGTCCTCATGGGAGCAACAAAGCACCTGGTAGCCAATGATTGCCTAGGTGTGGCCAGGGTCATTCCTGGCCTACCTCTAGCGCCACCGCTGTGAACAAAGTGAAAAAGCGTTGGAACGTTATGTACTTTTTCTTAGTAACTCGAACAATCATACTAACCCACTATTCATACAGCCAAAAGTATCCAAATTTGCTGGCAGTGTTAAACTATAAACATTAAATATAGTTTACAGTATAAAGCTAAAAAATATTAACACAGGCTTGAATATTATTACAGTCATTATTACCAACTGTTGCCTTTTATTTTGCTGTACATTACATTATTATCTCCAAAAAAATAATGACTTGGATTCTACTTTATGAAAAACATTTTTTTTTTTTTGTTTTTTTTTTTTTTTGTTTCGTATCAACATATTTTTCTTTTATTTTTGATTAAAAACCTGATTGGAATGATGAAGGGAAGAAAGGGATGGTTATCCATATACGTTTATACCACTGCTACTTATCTGAACATGTGATTACTGTAATGTATATTAAAAAAAGATTGTTTCTACTATCCTTTGTTACCTTTAATAGAATGAGAAAATGAAATGATATAATACCAACATTAGATCAAGGAGGCATTGTTATGCGTCCCAACACAGCTGTACACCTGCAGGCTTCAGCTTTGTTTACAGAATAGTTTGTTGTGTCTTGGGAAAACTGGTCCTGTTGATAAGAAAATAGTTCTTTAGAGAAATTGCACATAAACAAAATTAATTCTGAGAAAATTCTGCAGCTGTTCTGGTCCTTACCAGCTTCTTCTCAGATGTACAAAACCAAGAAATGTTTTAGACTCTGCTGTCTTATATTTTCAGCAGATTTTTCTGCTTTCTGCCAACATTGTTGTGTGTGTGTCTAAGCAGCAGTACCTTGGCTCCATGAAGCTTTTTTTTTGTTACTGTTATTGCTTAATTAACGTTTATACATAAATGTGTGCAGCTATTTGCTACAAAATAAATAAAAGCTGGGAAAAGTCTAGGTGTTGCCGGAATAGCGTTGAACAGCAAAACTTTCGACATTGCCTAAAGTAGCTGGTCTCAAAAAGAAAGAATGTATGAATAACTTTATTTCAGACAATCCAGGAAAAAGATGGCCCTCAGCTGCAGGAGCCTTTTATGAGCATGTGAAGGAGACTTAGTGGTTATCTTCATTGTTTTTTAGGAGTGGACACACATGTTCATCGCATCTCCAACAGGCTGGGCTGGCTCAAGAAACCAACCAAGAACCCAGAGGACACACGCAAGGCCCTGGAGGACTGGTTACCTAGGTAACTACATTATGATCAGTACATTCTTTAAAAGCCATAATGCTGTAAACTTTTTCCTTCCTTCCTTCCTTCCTTCCTTCCTTCCTTCCTTCCTTCCTTCCTTCCTTCCTTCCTTCCTTCCTTCCTTCCTTCCTTCCTTCCTTCATACATCAATCCTTTCTACCTACCTACCTACCTACCTACATCATTCCTTCCTTCATACCTACCTACCTACCTACCTACCTACCTACCTACCTACCTACCTACCTACCTACCTACCTACCTACCTACCTACCTACCTACCTACATCATTCCTTCCTTCCTTCCTTTCTTCCTTCCTTCCTTCCTACCTACATACATCAATCCTTCCTACCTACCTACCTACCTACCTACATCATTCGTTCCTTCATTCCTACCTACCTACCTACATCATTCCTTCCTTCATACATACCTACCTACCTCATTCCTTCCTTCCTACCTACCTACCTTCCTTCCTTCCTTCCTACCTACCTACCTACATCATTCCTTCCTTCCTTCCTTCATACATCAATCCTTCCTACCTACCTACCTACCTACCTACCTCATTCCTTCCTTCCTACCTACCTACCTTCCTTCCTTCCTTCCTTCCTCCCTACCTACCTACCTACATCATTCATTCCTTCCTTCCTTCATACATCAATCCTTTCTACCTACCTACCTACCTACATCATTCCTTCCCTCCTTCCTACCTACCTACCTACATCATTCCTTCCCTCCTTCCTACCTACCTACCTACCTACATCATTCCTTCCTTCCTTCCTTCCTACCTACATACATCAATCCTTCCTACCTACCTACCTACCTACCTACCTACCTACCT